TTAAAAAATAAAGCAGATTGATACACACAACTTTCGGTATTGCTCACCCATTTCCCCCCCAAACCGCATGCACCCTCTAACTTACTTCCCTCTTTCCCTCTTCTTCCTCTTCCTCACTCTCCCCCTCTCCTCCTTCTCGTCAACCTTCCTACTTGCTTCTCCCCTTCTTCCTATCTTCTCGCTCCGGATGCGGTCCAGGGGAAATGCCCGAGCAATTCCTCTCTTCAAATTAAAACATCAATATTATATACAATAAAACTATTTCTACTTATCTGAGCTACTTAAACTTCAACCCATCTTCCTCCTTCCTTTTCATTACACTTAAGTATTTAAGTCTTTTTCCTCATACAGGCCATCCCAACACTTTTACATTTCTCATATCTTAAAAAAATAAAAAGAAAAATTAGAAAAAGAAATAAGATAGTATACTATTTAAAATACGTATCCCTCTTAGACGAATGTACATTTATATCCAGATTTTTTCTCTTAGTTTTAACCATATTCAAGCATATGTTTAATCTTTAAGTGTTCCACTTAAGTAAATCCAATTATCTAATCTTTTATATTTCTCATGTGAGACCATCATCTTCCAATGATCCCCAGTCCCTGTGCCGAAGACTAAGGTCAAGAACACAACAATCTTTTATGGTTGGTTGTAATCTAATCTTAATTTATACCTACTGTGGGTTGGGGCTCCATTTCTGTTTGTTTCCCTCATTACATTTATGAAGTCGCAGTAAATATTTATTCTTCTCCTCTTTTCTTGGAGGACTTTCTGTAAAGAGGCTGAGTAAAGATGAGTTTCCATAATACAGGTCCTATCTGTTGCCTATTGCCTGTTCTAAGAAGAGGATGCTTCACTTCTTTGGAGGCATTTTAGCAAAGGGTGGAGAGCTGACTTCCAGGATAAAAAGTTTGAGTCACTACGTGGCCTCTTTCAGTGAATATTGGCATGTGGAATAGATCTATTGTCTATTTCTAGTTCCATCATAATTTAAAGTAATTCCTTTGCATTGCTCAAGAAGCATGCAGACAGTCACATCTTCAGCTGAACTGGCTGGAGACATACACTCAGCTGATGTCCAGCTAGGGACCATGAGCCAAATAAATGTCAACAAAAACTTTTGGATTCTTGCCTTGCTACTGGGTGTGTGAGACATAAAAGTCTCTTTGGAGGCAACGTGAATAGAATAGCTTGCACAGATTAGAGCTAGATGGATGTTTTTTGGAGAAAATAGCAAGTCCTGGAGTATACCAAAGTTGTTTTTGGTTTTTTTTTTTTTCAAAAAAAGTCCATTGTGAGCTAGAATGTAGTGCAGGATAAATCTCCAAATTAAGATTTTTTTGGTAACCTAAGGCCCACTTGGTTCCTTTAGAACAGTGGTTCTCAACCTGTGGGTCGGGACCCCATTTGAGGTCGAACAACCATTTCACGGGGGTCACCAAACAACGCAGTCCGCCATTTTTTCCCCCTTTTCCTTAGCTGTGCTACTCCTTCTTATTCTATTGGCTTTTGAAAGCCAATAGAATAGACTCTCTTGAATGGAGTCTAATTCTATTGGCTTTCAAAAGCCAATAGGAATTGTCCAGGCTATCTCTGCCCTGCTGAGCCCACCAAAAGTCCCATTCTGCAAATGGTGCTGCACCAGTTGAATAGTCCTCGACTTACGACCGGTTGAGTAGTCCTCGACTTACGACCGGTTGGGGTTGCAGCATTAAAAAGGTTGAGAACCACTGCTTTAGAAGATTTGAGGCTCAAAGCACAGATACCTGGACATTCTTGTTATGTAAGTAACGTTTTAGAGAATGCAAGAACCATGTTTCATCAGATGAACGGTCTGTCTGGTTAGTGCCACGCTCTTTCTCTTCATGTGACTGATCAGGAGCTGAAAAGGAATCTGAAAACAAGACTTAAAAGCAGAAGCACCTTTTGCTCCTTTGAGGTTGGATGGTTTGCAGTACCACAGTCTGCACTCTTGTGTTTTGAACTGCTGCCTCCCCTCCCGTTCTGTGGGAGTGTCAAATTGTGTACCGATTTAGAAACAAACTCGCAAAAAGAGGTGGTTCTGATCACGATGGTGGCAAAGTTAACTCCAGAAGTTAAAGATTGTAAAGGAGTCTCCAAGATCCAGAAGGCTGGAAACATTGCTACACTAAACCATGATGTGGTTTGCTTGGTTTTGTCTATTCAAGTGATATGTGTCTCTTTTAAACATGTGCAGATCCTTGTGTACCATTGAGTGAAGTGTACAATACATTGTTGAAAATGGTGTAAATTTCAGAAGAAAGCATTGATTACAGAATAACAGAGTTGGAAGGGACTGTGGAGGTCTTTTAGTCCAACCCCCTGCTCAGGCAAGAAACCCTATACCATTTCAGACAGATGGTTGTCCTCTTCTTTAAAAACTCCTGTGTTGGAGCACCCACAACTTCTGGAGGCAAGCTGTTCCCCTGATTAATTATTCTCACTGTCAAGAGATTTCTCCTTAGTTCTAGGTTGCTTCTCTCCTTGATTAGTTTCCATCCATTGCTTCTTGTTCTGCCTTCAGATGATTGGAAAATAGGTTGACCTCCTCTTCCTTGTGGCATCCTTTTAGATATTGGAAGACTGCTATTATGTCACCCCCTAGTCCTTCTCTTCATTAAACTAGACAAACCCAGTACCTGCAACTGTTCTTCATATGTTTTAGCCTCCAGTCCCCTAAAATATATGAAGAAGAGTTGCAAGAATTGGGTTTCTCTAGTTTAACGATTAAACTATTTGTAATGTGTAGCATTTTGCTCAGCTTCCAAATGCCAATGAGCAAAATGTGGTTCTTCAGTGTGATATATTTAAAACTCAACAGCTTGGGAATACAAACTCAAGCTAAGCATTCTCTGAAATAAATGCATATTCAAATTCCTCTTACCTGCTGGACTTCTGCCACTGATTTAGAGTATCTGAAAGAGTTTTTCCAGATGTATCTGGGTGGCAATTGGCAGCTTGGGGGGAAGGGGGAGTGTTTTTCTGAGCAGGCACTATGGTAAAAGTTAAAAACTTTTTTTAAAAAATTTAAAAACTCAGACTAAGCCATTATAGCTTAGAGCAGTGGTTCTCAAACTTTTCTTCCCCACGGACCCCCTTTAAATCACTTTTGTGGTCACAGACCATGGCCAAGGACAACCAAGACTTAAGATTTAAATTGTAACATTTTTTTCAAAGCTTCACGGACCCCCTGTGACGATATCATACCCTCCCCAGGGGTCTACGGACAAACAGGTTGAGAACCACTGGCTTAGAACAATACGTGAACATAAAGAACCCACGATTGCAAGCATGCTGTTGCTACTATCCTAACAATACAGTCACTATATTTGGAATAAATAGTCTTGGGCATCATTGGAAGTTATTCCCCAGGAAGGCAAAAAATATGCCTTCTGAAAAATTAGCATCTATGCAATATGATTTCTCATAAAATAAAAATACTGGACAGTTTCCCATGCTCATCAAAAGGATATTTTTCCTTTATTGCCTTCTTTCTTAACAAAAAAATGATGGTGGGAAGAGAGAACAGCTGTTAAATAGTGCAGTTGCCTCAACTGTTTTACTCTCCTTCTGAATAGGAGCTGGTCCCCAGGCTACCTCTGTGTGGGAGCAACATTTCTTACAAACAAATAGACCCCTTGTCTTTGGGGATAAAAAAAAGGGATTTTTAAAAAACTCAAATAAGGTCCTAATTAAAATAGAAATGCTGCCTTTGGGTTGGTCTGTCTTTTGCATGGAACTGTAAGTATGCCTTGGGGGGGGGAATTACTTCACATTTTAGATGCTGCCTTTTGCTGCACAGAGTCACCTAGGAAACATTTTGAAATGTGGACCAAGAAAAGTTGTGAAAGCAAGAGAGGAAAGCTAATTTGTTGTACAAAATTTCAAGGAGACGTTTCTTCGTATACTAACTAGATGGAAGATCCTGAAAGCTTGCATGTGCTTTTGGTTTAATAAGCGTATCGTCCAACTTTGTTTTTGATTTCTCCAAGGGGATCTAGTTCTATTGCAGCTTGTTCATTTTTGACAGTGGTGGGCTTCATAAACTCTTTGTATGAACCTTTATATAGAATCAAAACATTTTTCTCTCTCTCTCATTTAAGATGTGGATTCCGGATGTCACAGAGAGCAGATCAAAGCAAATATGTTTCTTATCCAGTTTTATGTCATAGCTCATTTAAGTTACGATACCTAGAATAACAGAGTTGGAAGGGGGCTCGGAGATCTTCTAGTCCAACCCCCTGCTCAAGCAGGAAACCCTACACCCTATGCATATACCCTGTGCAGCACCTGAGATATGGTTACTCCATTTCAGTGACATTAATTTGGGAGGTTTATTTGCCCTAGTGGGAAGCAGAATAGGTTTTCTATGCCGCCAGTAGACCTGTGCACTGATTTTACTGACAAAAACTCCAAGAGCCCAAATCAGAAAAAGACTCCCATCTCTGGGGACATTACCAGTCCAAGCTGGGAATAAACATGGCGACTGCTTTAGAAAGAAAATTGCAGTTTATTGAAGAGGAGAGCCAGACAGAAAGATGGCTCTGGCAGAAAAGAGAGTGAGCACATGTAGGGAGTGGGTTTTTATACCCTCTTGAGCCTTTTGTTTGGAGTTGTTTCCTGTTCCTGTTTGAGGCTACTTCCTGTGTCATGTATTCTGACCTGAGTCTGGGTGTGCCCTTTGGCATCTGTGGGTTAATCCTATTATGTCCTATCTTAGAGTTTGGGTGGGGTATGTAGATTTTAGGGGTCTTTGTCTTCTTAACCTTCCAGCTGGGGGGCCTCCATCAGCATTTCGACATAGCTGGTTTCTGCTTGGGGGAGGGAGACCTTAAGAAAGGTCATGCAATGGGGCAGACCTCACTTAACAAATGTCTCACATAGCAACAGAAATGTTGGGCTCAATTGTGGTCATAGTTCAAGGACCACCTGGTACTATACTGGCCTTGATGGAGCATGTTCTTGTTTTCTTCAGGCATTGCTTACCTTGGAGGAATTTGCAGCTTGAAGAGGAAGTGTGTCCTTGCAGAAGACAATGGACTCAATCTGGCCTTCACCATTGCTCATGAACTGGGACACAAGTAAGACAACACAGGCATTTGCTGTATTGCTCGAGTTGGTCTTAGCACTAGAGACCTTGGTACAGATTCATTCACTATAACTGATCCTCTAAGTTGCATTCCTTCTAAAAATTGATCTAAACAAAACAAAAACTTAGTTGTCAGTTGGAAGAGAACGATATTTCTCCAGCCTAAACAAAAACTCTCAAGAAGCCCATAAAAATGTTTTAATCACATTTATTTATTTTGTAATTTATTACAAATGAAGTTAACATACATGTCCCAGGATAAATCAGATAGTGGGTATTTATTCATTATATTTTGAAGCTGTGGCTTTTATGAGAGGCATATAGTATCTAACCTTCTCAGTTTTTGTTGGAAGTTTTCTCTATTCTATTCTATTCTATTCTATTCTATTCTATTCTATTCTATTCTATTCTATTCTATTCTATTCCATTCCATTCCATTCCATTCCATTCCATTTTCTATTCTATTCTATTCCTATTCTATTCTATTCTATTCTATTCTATTCTATTCTATTCTATTCTATTCTATTCTATTCCATTCCATCTCTACTCTATTCTACTCCACTCCACTCCATTCCATTCTACTCCATTCCATTCCATTCCATTCCATATTCTATTCTATTCTATTCTATTCTATTCTATTCTATTCTATTCTATTCTATTCTATTCTATTCTATTTCTTATTCTATTCTATTCCTGTTCTATTCTATTCTATTTCCTATTCTATTCTATTCTGTTCTATTCTATTCTATTCTATTCTATTCTATTCTTCCAGAGCTTCTGATATTGAAGGTGTGCCAATACTTTCACTCCAGCTCACTGTGGAGTTTGAGTTTTATCCTCTGCTGTTCACCATCCAACGGAAAGAATACCTTAAGAAGTCCTACTCTTTTCCTGCTGCTATGTTTTTCTGGCATTTCTGTTCTACATGTACAGTGGAAATTTTTGTTGCGGTTGTTGTTCTTTTAATTATTCATTATTCTACCCATAGATAATTGAAAACATATTTTTCAGACCTCGTTTGGGCTCAGCCTGACAGCCATCAAAATGAACATATTTTGGGTATTTTTATTTTCTTTTTACCATGCAGCTTCATACTTTGGGGGTGGTTTTCACAAAGTGTACGTAATTGTCTTTCTGAGGAGAGAAATGCTACTGGATTTATTTCAGGTTAACTTTTGGCCACCATATATCTATTTTCCAACTCCTTTTCAGAACGTCCTTCTCAAGGTCTCTAGGGTGTGGTCAGTGTTGGTGCCCGCAACATCGTGATTGATTCCATCTGCTGTTTTTGTTGATATTGTTTATTTATATACAACACACTTGTGACACAGATTTAAAAAGCAGATGAAGCTTTGTTTGCACAGTCTAGTCCAAGTCTTGATGTTTGTGACCATTACCCTGCAGACACTAATGTTTATTCTTTGAGTTCAGTGACATTCGGAGATAGTTTTAACTTCTTAACTTCAAGATGAACTGTTCCAGATGCATTATCTATTCTTCTCAATTCTAGTTAAACTGCAGTGCTAGTTCAATATTTTTTACTGGATGTAGATGGAAATGATAACCTTCCAAATAGAACAACAGCTTCCTAACAAAACTCTTAGGCAGCATCAGAATTTCCAAGAAAGCAAAGAGTCTGAGGGCAAAACTTTCTCAGGCGAGGTTCTTCATATCCCTAATTCTTAATCAGCCTGTTTTGTTGTTTTTTTTTCCTAGGGGCATAACAAAGACCTTTTTTTATTAATCTCAAATGTGGGCTGAGATGGATATCATAACAAAAGAGGAACAAGGCGTGGCCTAGACCTCAGTTCTTGTACAAAGCCAAAGTCACTTAACCCTGCAGGGGTTCTCAACCTTGGCAACTTTAAGACTTGTGGACTTCAACTCCCAGAATTCTGGGAGTTAAAGTCCACAAGTCTTAAATTTGCCAAGGTTGAGAACCCCTGCCTCAATGAATGGAGGAAGAATCTTTTGAGATGAGTTTGTTCTGATCCACAAATAAAGTTCAGCTGCTCGTGCACAGCTGCCCTTCTGTTTGATCCCTGTTAAACTATGGAACAAAGAGGGAATCTATAGTAGATTGTCATAAATAGTCGATACATTTATTCTCATCTAATCCTGTTCCTTTTGGCTCTTCGGCTTTGAACAAGAAGAAATACACCAAGAACAGAGATAGCTATAGAACTGTCCCTCTTTATGAAAACAGAATTTTAGATTTTACTAATTTTGCATCCAGATTTATATGCACCGCAATTTATCCAGTTTTAGGGCTGCATAATTAGCATCTTTCTGATTCATCTCAATGTTGCCTTCGCTCAGTTATCAATTAATTCCATCATATTTTTGCTTTCTTGTTTTTTTTAAAAAAACGAAAGAAACAGAGCTAGAAAAATTGCCTTTTATTTTCAGGCAAAATCTTCTCTAGTTCAGAAACATTTTCAGTGCAAGTTCTAATATTGCTCAGCCAAGAATTCCAATGCAAAATTTGGGGAAGCATGATTTTTAAAAGAGAGAGAGAGAAGAAGAAGTAGAAGTAGAAGTAGAAGTAGAAGTAGAAGAAGAAGAAGAAGAAGAAGAAGAAGAAGAAGAAGAAGAAGAAGAAGAAGAAGAAGAAGAAGAAGAAGAAGAAGAAGAAGAAGAGGAGGAGGAGGAAGAAGAAAAAGAAAGAAAGAAAGAAAGAAAGAAAGAAAGAAAGAAAGAAAGAAAGAAAGAAAGAAAGAAAGAAAGAATCAGCCACTCAGGAAGTGATGCTCAAAGCCATGAAAATGTGGATGAAATGAAACTCTCTTCACAAAAATTGCACATTTGGGGCTTGCATCATTGGGTGAAAGAGTTGATTGCTCGCCGAGGTCACTGTAGGTTGAACCAGAATCTTTCTGGCACAAAATAGTGGCTGGTTTTGCCAGCTCATTGTAGGCTGGCTATTTAATGTGTCTTTGGTTTACTCAGCAGAATGAACTTGAGTAAGGACAGCCTGCTGAGCCACAAAACTGTTGATTGAAGGAAGATGGCTGTTGGCTGCTTTTCTCCCACAGTTTCAGCACAGTTAAGAGTTTTCCAGGCAGTGCTAGTGTGTCAAAATAAAATGCTGCAAGATGCACAGAAACAAAGGATGCTTAGCTGTCTGGGAGGCAAGCTGTCATTTCCCTGAAAGCATTAGAGCGGTGTTTCTCAACCTTGGCAGCCTGAAGATGTGTGAATTCTAGGAGTTGAGATTTGAACTTCAAATCAAGGAGAACAGATGTGATTCTGGAAGAAATGGGGTTGTTATCAGAGCCAGCCAAAGCATCTGTCCTGCTAAAAGCCCATAATTTGGAGATATCCTTTATTATAGTTTTTGGGGGGACAAATGCTTGCTAGTTTTGCAGGCAAGAACACATGAGATGATTTAAGGCAGTATTTTTTTCCATCATGAAAATTTGAAGGTTTTGGACCTCAACTTAAAATGGCCAAGTCTAGATTCTTTCAAAAAGAACTTGCGGTTCCATTTGGCCTGTAGGATGGAGTCTGCTCGTTCCAGAAGTCCTGTGTCTCTCTGTTGCAAAGCAGGTTTGCAACAGCCTTAAGTCCTTATTTCTAGAACATAGAATGACAGGGCTGAAGGATCCTCAGAGATCTTGCTGCTCAAGCAGGAGACCCTACACCATTCCGGTCAAATGACTGTCCAATCTATTTTTGAAAACCTTCAGTGAAACCAGCCACAACCCCAGCAGGCAAGCCATTCCACTGATTTAATTGTTTTCATTATCAAGAAATTTCTCCTTAGTTCTAGTTAGCTTCTCTCCATCCATTGCTTCTTGTCCTGCCTTCAGGTGCTTTAGGTCAATCCCCTCTTCTCTCTTACTGCTCCTCAAATGTTGGAAGACTCCTATCTTAGAAGAAGGGAAGGAATGTATAGGGTGGAAAGGAACGTCTGGCTAATTCAGAAACAGAAATAAAACAGGCCTGGAGACCAACCAGAGGCCAAACACGCCCAAGACCACCTTCCCACAACCTCTCCAGAGTGAGGCAAGTCTAGATGATAAGAAGTCGTCAGTTTCCAGAACCTATCTAGAAAAGGTTAAGGGTTGATGTCACTGGAACCCAGCTTCAAGAAGGCATCCTGAGTTCAAATCCCTGCTTCCAGTGACGAGAGCTAGGGCTGCGATTTGAAGCATGTTGGGCAGCAAACAATGGTTTTGTTTCAATCCAGCAGAATACATCTTAGAGATCATTGCAACTCTTTATCCCTCTTTCTTCAAAGCTTTATTGCAGGCTTTGGTTTAAGCTGTAGCTTTCTCCTTCTTCTTCTTTTTTAATTTTATTTTAGGCACATTGACCAAAAGGGGGGGGGAGTAGAATGTTTCCAAACAGTCAACCATAAATGTTTTATTGGGATGGGAAAGTGGCTTTGTGGCACTGGGTGGAGCTTTGAGATGGCTCTTAGGGCAAAAATACTGTCTTAATAAGACAAAGAAAAGTTTATGCTAGCTATAACTGCACGTTCTCATCAAGCAGAATGCTGATTCTAGTGAGGTTTGGGGTGAGACCATTAGTCTGGAAGCTAGGCCAGCTTTCTCCAGCCAGATGTTGGCCAAGGGTTCTGGAAGTTGTAGTCCAACACTGTCTACGATAACGTTGGGTGGGTGTGTGTGAGAAATTTAAGCCAGACCTACCGTTCCAACAGTGCTTGGTTTAATAAATGTCTCGCTTAGCAATAGAAATGTTGGGCTCAATTGCTGTCATAAGTCGAGGATTACCTCTATTTGATATCCATCCATGGAAAAGCTATCTGGATAGCATCACAAACGAATGAAGGAATTCCTCCATTCCCCCCAGTTTTTATAACAGCTGCATCAGCCCTGACGTTTTAGCCATCCAGCTCCCAAACCTGGTGAAATTAGCTATGGATTGGTTTGTACAAGAAGAAGAAGAAGAAGAGGAATGGGTTGCCTGGAAAAGTAACAGATTGTTATAATAATCCCATCCTATTTTAGGAAATCCTCTTTGGGAATATCAAACAACAGAAAGTATTGAATTTATGTTTAATTTTTCCAAAAGGGTGGGGGCGTAATCAAACCCAAAAAATTCCAATCTGAGATCTCTGGAAAGCTTTTCTTGTATCCTATTTCTGGAGCCGTTCCAGTAAAAGATGAGTAGGGAGCAGATCCTGTTTGTGGAGAGATCCTGAGGGAATCAATCCATCAGAATAGAGCTGGAAGGAACCTTGGAGGTCTTCTAGTCCAGCTCAAGCAGGAGACCCTATACCATTTCAGACAAGTGGCTGTCCAGCCTTTTCTTAAAAATCTCCAGTGATGAAGTCCCCACAGCTTCTGAAGGCAAGCTGTTCTATTGATTAATTGTGGTTCTCACTGTCAGGAAATTTCTCCTTAATTTCAGGTTGCTTCTTTCCTTGATTGATTAGTTCTAGGTTGCTTGCCTCCTTGGTTAGTTTCCATCCATTGTTTCTGGTCTTGCCTTCTGTTGCTTTGGAAAATAAGTTGACCCCCTCTTCTTTATGGCAACCCTCAAGTACTGGAATACTGCTATCAATATTGGATGTCTTCTATCTAGTTTAACCCCCTGCTCAAGCAGGAGTACCATTTCAGACAAATGGCTGTCCAGTCTCTTCTTGAAAGCCTTCAGTGATGGGTCATCCACAACTTCTGAAGGCAAGCTGTTTCATTGGTTGATTGCTCTCACCGTTAGGAAGTTTCTCCTTGGTTCTAGGTTGCTTCTCCCTTTGGTTAGCTTCCATGCATGGTTTCTTGTCTTGCCTTCTGTTGCTTTGGAAAATAGGTTGACCCCCTCTTCTTTGTGGTAGCGCCTTAAATACTGGAATACTGCTATCATATCACTCCTAGTCCAGCTTTTCTCTAGACTAGCCATACCCAATTCCTACAAGAAAAGGGGTTCTTTTTGATCAAAGCAATACGGGTAAGTTAACTAGCATCAATTAACGTTTTAATGAATGGTACAGCCTTGAGAATATTATATCCTCCTTGAATAGAGCTGTGCAACCTAAAGGCAATTAATAACATTCCTTGCACCTCCCACTTATTTTAGCCTTTTGAGTCTGAAGACAGAGAGGCCTTTGTAAGTGACTCGGAGGGGCAGTTTTCCCAGAATTCCCTTTTTAAAAAAGCAGCTCATTTCAGGAAGGGATTATATGACCTCAACCAAGAGCTCTGCGCACAAAACACCAAGGCATTGTTTAAAGGAGGTTTATGAGCCTTTCACTGAATAAAGAGGTCTGGGTATTCCTGAATGCACATCTGCTGAGGCACAGGGCTTCCAGCTGTTAACAAGCTATTTTGCTTTTCAGTAGTAACATATGTAATGTCTTTTCCTATTATGTTATGGCTGCCATATGCTTTTTGAGATCACGAAGGCCCACCAACTGGATCATCCACGATCAGTTTCATTAAAATTATTTTTCTTTACAGTCCTCCAGGTTGTAGTTGTCCCAAAGGTGCTTTTCCCAAAGGCAACTGGACTTTCTTTATTTTTTTTTCCTTGAAGATGTTTCACTTCTCATCCAAGAAGCTTCTTCGGTTCTTCTTCAGTTATCTTCCTTTATGCTAGGGATGGGATGGGATGGGATGGGATAGAATAGAATAGAATAGAATAGAATAGAATAGAATAGAATAGAATAGAATAGAATAGAATAGTTGGAAGGGACCTTGGAGGTCTTCTAGTCCACCCCCCTGCTCAGGCAGGAAACCTTACACCATTTCAGACAAATGGCTATCCAGTCTCTTCTTAAAAACATCCAGTGTTGGAGCTTCTGGAGGAAGGTTGTTCCACTGATTCAGATACTGTTTATATCCTATTTATGATCCTGTTGTTGGGCAATGAATTTTTTTGATTCTCCCTGCCATATTAGAGAGACTTCATTCTTCTAAATGTTTTAAGAAGGCTTCATGTTTTATCTCTTGCTATAATTAATGGCTGGGTTTTTTTATCCCCTATACTGAGTTTGAGTTTTAAAATTTGTTTAATTTTAATGGAGCTGCTGATTGCTCTGGGAGCGTTTTGTAATGAGGACAGTAGATTACAAATCAAATTAATGATCTGAGAAGACAACGGATTGTGTTTCTCCTTCTGTAACATACTCTTTGAAAGACTGCAGTCCACTAATGATATGAGCTCTTAAGCTAGCAGCTGGTTAGGTTATCTGACTCAAAATCTCTTTTCCAGAGCTTTGGGTCTGCCAGCGTTTAAGTATTTTGTTTTTGTTATATTATAAAAAGTATTTTGTTATATTAAAAAAAAAGAATAAGAATCTGCACCTATAGATCATAGGAACAATGTTTGTTTACCTTTGTCTTCCCTTCCTTCCTTCCTTCCTTCCTTCTTTCTTTCTTTCTTTCTCTCTTTCTCTCTCTCTCTTTCACTCTCTCTCTCTCTCTCTTTTTCTCTTCTTTCTTCTTTTAGCATGGGTATGAGTCATGATGACGACCACTTGTCCTGCACTGGGAGATCTCACATCATGTCTGGAGAATGGGTGAAGGGCAGAAATCCCAGTGACCTATCCTGGTCTTCCTGCAGCCGAGATGACCTTGAAAAGTTTCTAAAGTAAGAATGTTTGCTAACTGCAAAGCATTTGAATGACAGTCAGTGGTCTTTTATCTTCTCAGCTGAAATAAGGAACAATTCTCAGTGACGGATACTGAAGGTAAACTGGATCTGCTTTTGCATCCCGGCCTTCAGAAAAATTATTGGCAGAAGAACAGAAGCATTTATGATGCCCCAATTTCAGCCTCTTGACAACTTCTTGAAAAGTATCCTGGAGTTGCTGTCATTTTTACTTCAACTCTGCCCATATTTTTGGACAATAGTAATATGCTTCTGAATGTCTCTTTCAGTTGGGAATAAATATCTGGTTCTATGTTTAGGAAGTATTGGCAAAAATAACAGAAACCTGAGATTCTCAGGTGACCTCTCTCCATCTTTGAGCTAAACTGAACTCCATGAAAGATCTACCTCCCCTCTGTACTGTCTAGTAAAATTTATTTTGCATTATCATGTCACGACATCCAGCATTTCCGCACCTTGTGGCATTGCCAACCCCGGCCATGGATAGAATGAAAAAATGAAGAACATGGTTTTGCTTTTTGATGCGATAGATGGAAAAGAGGTGATTAGACAGTGTGTTCCAAGGATGTGCAGGAGAGGCCATTGACATCTTTACCATCATTTTCAATTTAGTTCCTAAAGTCACTGCATATTTTTATCCAATCGTTAGAGCTGATGTGATATGTGTTCACCAGAATCTGTTGATAAGCAATAGAGCAGATTTCCTCTTTGTTATAATCTGAAGATCATCATCAAGCAGGGATTTAATTTCAGGTGTATCTCTTAAAATTGCAGTCTGTATCTCTGGGAGTTTCACAGAAGCCTTTGGTATTTTGAAATTGCTTGGTGTTTATTGAGGTACTAGTGCTTTTAATGTTGGCTGTAAAATTTACTGTATAATGTAAACCACATTTAGCATTCTTTGTAGGCCCAAACGGCATTTTCTGAATTTGAAGAAGCTTTACTCTATGTTAGAACAGAGATGGCCAAGCACGTCTACATGTCTTTTGATTCTCCAGGTCCAAAGTCAGCAACTGTTTGCTGGTAACAGACCCACGTAGCCGATATGCTGTTCGCCTGCCTTATAAACTCCCAGGAATGCATTATAGCGCAGATGAGCAATGCCAGATCCTCTTTGGGACCAATGCAACTTTCTGTAAGAATATGGAGGTAATATGGATCATAAAAGAACAGATAACAATCTTCTGATAAAATGGTAGCATTATCTAGGATTATAGAACAGAGATTTCTTCCTGGGGCAATCTTAAAAAAAACCAAAACGATAGGAAACACCTTCTTTTGCTTTGGAAATAGTATTTTTTGCAAGGTATAAAAACTAGAAGTATTTCATTATTTGATGTCATACTTCCATTATTTTTTTAAAAAAGCTGCTGTGTAATAGGTCAGAATATCACATTCCAGAATGTACTAATTGCTTAACCTGCAGAGGGTGAGTTGCTAAATGACTGAAGCTTTATTATGGAACTTTACTGCTGCCAGTGAATTAATAAATAATCAAATAGAGTCAAACTAGATCCTGCCCACCTGTCCTCAAACCATCCCCAGGTTACCCAAGTGACTTTGTGGGCATATCACCCACCAGCCATTCCTTTCCTGAGAGGCTTGTAAAAGTTGTGTACTCTTGGTTTAGCACAGCAATTTCTTTCAATAGTTCCCCCATCTTCCTTATCGTAAACATTTCAGCTACCTAAAATCTGATAGGAAAATAAGTTGTACTTTTTCTACGTTCCCCTATTGCATAAAAAAGATGTGCCAAAGTAATAAAAAGCTTGGATTGTGCGCTTGAGTTTCAAATCCTGACTGTTCTGCTTTATTTATGTTGATCCTGGCAAACTCCTAGAGCAACATGAAACAGTGAGCTTCGCTTTTTTTTTTTTTTTCAGAAGGAAATCAAGTTGTGTTTCTCAGAGGGCTACCGAACCTGTTATTAGTGACAGTCTCTTGAAAGATTGTCCTGGCACAAGGGACTAAAATAAAGAACTATTTCAATGACTTTTCTAGGGAGAAACTAGTTTGTCTGCCTCTGTTGAAGCTCCTGATTATTTGTTTCACTTTTAAGTCTTCCACGTTGGATTTTCTTATTCAAGGAATTTTTTTTCACATGACTTTTAGTGCGTGTGTGAAATATTTGTAAAACGCCGAAGTCTTGAGGATAACTAGGCATACAGGTTTTTCTCAGTTTTCCCCTAAACCTTTGCAGCAACAAAGATAGGATAGGATAGGATAGGATAGGATAGGATAGGATAGGATAGGATAGGATAGGATAGGATACGAGAGGATAGGATACGAGAGGATAGGATACGAGAGGACAGAATAAGTGAGATAAAGTAAGGTAAGAAAAGACAAAATAACCTTTATGGTCACTTTTCTGTGTGCACAATGGTGTACAGAATGAAATTTTGATGCTGTTTACTTTTTTAAAAAATTAAATAATTAAAAATTTTAATTTGTCTCCCATCTCGCCATAAAGTGCAGAGCAAATAGAAAATATTTGCTTTGTAGATGTTTCATGTTCTCTCTCACGCTGGGATGAAATGTGTCCACAAATGCAAACCAACATTCATTTTTCTGCAAATTAAACTTTTCAAACAAAAATGATGGCAATTAATAATCTGAGAGTCAAAATCTCTGCCTGGTGTATTGCATATTATCCAGCAGTTTCTTCAAAGTTATATTAGTCACAGTTAACTTGAATACAATTTAAACTTTTTCTCTCCCCTTCTTTCATCTCCTGTAGGGGAATATTTTGATTTCTGAATTTGTTTAGTTGTTTGATGCAAAGTTAATTCTTGCATGCAGGTTTATTTTTTGAAAACATATTTGTAACAACTAAAAAATAAATCAGATAATGCTTTGTGCCATTTTCCTTGCAATAGTGGTCTCTCCAGGCAAATGCAATTTTTTTCCCTATTTCGGTTGGCAGCATTTGATGTGTGCTGGTCTCTGGTGCCTTGTGGAAGGAGATGCCTCTTGTAAAACCAAACTGGATCCTCCCCTGGATGGGACAGAATGTGGAGCTGACAAGGTAAAAGCCCTGGAGAAAATCAACTCTGTTTCCTAAAAAAAACTTGTTTTTAAACTTCTTGGCCAGATAGTAAAGATAATGGTTTCTATGTAGTACTTGGGTGCAATGCTTGTTTATAATGCTGCAAAACAGTGGTTCTCACCCTTTTCTTCACCATAGACCCCCTTTAAATACCTTTTGTAGCCACGGACCCCCAAGTGGTTTGGCTGTAAAATATTAAATATTTCTGATGGACAGTTCTGCCTATTCTTGGGAAATGTCTGTAAGAAAAGATCCTAAGGTGGCCACCACCTCAAAACTCATTTTGTTTGTTTGTTTGAATGAGAAAAATAAAATAAAATGTGACAGGGACGATAGGCATGTGAGCACCCACGCCCCCTTAGGAACCTCTTAAATATGGTGTGAGGTCCACAGAAGTTAAGTTTGAATTAAAACTATGAAAGTTAATAGCTGAGACAACTGAATCAGGTAAAATATTCCAGACTTTGACAACTCTTATAAATTAAAAGTCATTTTTTTACAATCGAGTTTAAAGTGATTTACATTAACGATGTTGTTCGCATGTGTTACCTTACGATTATTATTTTTTTAAAGTCATTTACTTAATTTTATATGTGATACCTAAATCACAGTTCTACACTATCCAAACCAAAGAATTTCTCTTTTTGTTCCAGTGGTGCCGAATGGGGGAGTGTGTCAGTAAAACCCCCATCCCTGAACACATTGATGGTGACTGGAGCATTTGGAGTCAATGGAGCATGTGCAGCCGGACGTGTGAGTCCGGGGCCAGATTCAGGCAGCGCAAATGTGACAATCCTCCGTAAGTTGATTCATTCTGATGAGCACCTAACCCTTAAGAGCACTTAAGGGAGCATAGAAAGATGTCTTCAGAGGAAGCCCAGCCCATCTGTTTCTCCGCTACCCAATCCAGGGGAAACTGATGTGGTGCATGTCCAAGGAGGAGGAGGAGGAGGAGGAGGAGATGAAGAAGAAGAGGAGGAGGGGAAAGGGAAGGGGAGATGAGGAGGAGGGGAAAGGGAAGGGGAGATGAGGAGGAGGAAGAAGGAGGAGGAGGAGGAGGAGGAGGAGGAGGAGGAGGAGAAGAAGAAGAAGAAGAAGAAGAAGAAGAAGAAGAAGAAGAAGAAGAAGAAGAAGAAGAAGAAGAAGAAGAAGAAGAAGAAGAAGAAGAAGAAGAAGAAGAAGAAGAAGAAGAAGAAGAAGAAGAAGAAGAAGAAGAAGAAGAAGAAGAAGAAGAAGAAGAAGATGATGATGATGATTTTAATGGTGGACAATCATTGCTTTTATTTGTCAGTCACAAAATATTCCCTTCCAAAGCATTGCTTTCCTAGGACTGTTAAATCTTTTCTGCATTTTTAGCAGATGACCTTGGCTGATCTTGAAAAAGCTAAGCAAGGTCAGATTTTATTAGTGCTTGAATGGGAGGCCACTAGTAAATCCCAAGGGGGTAAGTTGGATTGGGATGTTTAAAAAAACATCCTGAAGGAAAGTATGGAAAACCACTTCTGTATCGCTGCCATAAATAATTAGCACAATTTGGGAAGTGTTATTGTGAGCCTCTCTTGAAAAATAGTTCTTCTGTCCTACATTCAGGTTTCAGAAAAATCGCTACTGATGTCAGTTAAGACTGTTTTAAAACTTAAGTGTGTATAACAACAGTATGAAAAAAAAAAAATCGTGGGTCTGAATGTGACTTGAGGACAGACGATCCATATTGCCAATCTCAGTTTCTCTTACTTTCTCATTTTTCATTTATAAATTCCTTTCCTTTACTAAACCGAGTAACTTAAAAACATTTGCAAAATGTATTTTACACACTTTATACATGACACATTTTTGCTTGCCACTTGCACTCAAGGGTGTTCTGAATTTATCTGTTGTTTGTACAGATCTTCCCCAATGTGTGTGTGTTTTAATCACTAAACAATATTTCAAATTCAAGACAAGTTTGGAAAGATCACTGAATTCTGATTTGTCCATTGCCTCAAAAATGTAAAACAAACACGTTTGCATTAGATACGGACCACTTCTTTTTTCATTTTCGATCCATGGTAGGATGACCATACCTGGCTGAATTGTGCCCTCTGTTGTTCTAAGTCCTGATTTATTGGCTTTATTGCGTCTCCCCCTCTTTTTTTTTCCTGGCTGCTATTCTCATTAGTCCGTATGGATGTTTTCAGGAAGGTGTATGAAATCACCAGAAGTCAAATTCATCTGAAAGGAAATCTTTTTTTTTTTTTTTGCTTTTAATTTGTGTTTTCTTTTCAAAACAGTCCAGAAAGAAGTTCTATATTCACAAACTCCCCTATCAATCTTTTGTGGATGACATGATGGAAACTAATGCAGGCTGTCCATATTTAACAGGCCTGGGCCTGGAGGTAAAAACTGCCAGGGAGCAAGTGTGGAACACACGGTATGTGAAAACTTGCCGTGTCCCAGAGGGGTGTCGTCCTTCAGAGACCAACAGTGTCAATCTCACGATCGCTCGGCCAACAAGAAGAAAAGCCTATGGACGTCTGTCATCATGGATGGTATGTTTCAGCAGATGAAAAAACACTGCTATTTTTTATACACAGTAGAACAGTGGTTCTCAACCTTTCTAATGCCGCGACCCCATAATACAGTTCCCCATGTTGTGGTGACCCCCAACCAGTTATACATCACCGGGTGCCAGGGGCGTGGCCAAAGAAAAGGGGGGGGGGAAATGGCGGACAGCCTTGTTTGGTGACCCCCATGAAATGGTCGTTCGGCCCCAAATGGGGTCCTGACCCACAGGTTGAGAACCACTGCAGTAGAACCTAGGTACTCAGCTTGTTTGAAACTCATCGAATTTGGTACTCAACGCATTTTGAGGCAAAAATTTTATCCCGGGACTCATCGTTTGTTTGGTACTCAATGCACAAGCTAGAACTTGTCAATGTCAGCTGCCTTGGGACTGATTACATTATTCCTTATGGGGATTTTTTTTTTTTTTAGTGCTCATCGTTTTTGATACTCATCACGTCACCGAAACCAATGAATGATGAGTGCCAAGGCATCACTGTACAATTTTTATTAAAGAACTTTTTTCCGTAGACTAAAAACAATGCCACCTTTGAGTTAAAGATAAGTAGAGGAAAGTAATAGACAAGTGAAAACAGAAATAGAGAAAAAGAAGTACCGTATTTTCTGGCGTATAAGGCGACCCGGCGTATAAGACGACCCCCGACTTCGGCGCCGAGTTGCACGCCTAGAAAGTTGTCTTATACACTGGAAATTACCATAATTTCTGGCGTATAAGACGACCCCTGACTTTGGCGCCGATTTCAACGCTTTAGAAAGTCGTCTTATACACTGGAAAATACGGTAGAAAGGAAGAAAAGAAAGAAAGAATAATAAAGTGCCTTCTGATCTTCTTAACAGAAGCAGTTATAAATACATTTATGCTTGCCCTCTCTAAGGTTACATCAAAGTTTCCTGCTTTCCATAATCGACCCTGTCTAATCATCAGATTCATAAATTATGACTTTGGGGGGGGGGGTTTCCAGCAAAAAGTCCATAAGGAGAATATTGCTCCTGTTTCTGTGCTAATTGACAGAAAGGGATCTCAGATGTTACCCTGAAATTAAAAAAAATAGTAGGTAGTCAGAATACTTACATATGGAAATCTAAAAGAATATAAGCTTTTCACTCTTTGTAGTCTTTATTTGCAAACCTCAGTACTGTATTGTGTAATCTTTTTGCAATTTCTTGACTTCAACATAAGTCTCTTGGGATAGCTACATCAATCAACCAACTATTGTTCTGTCCAGTGTGTTATACTTCTGGTGCTGATCAAATTTTAAAACCCCATAAGAGTGTTACTCTGTTGTTCTTAAGATAGAATATTTGTAGCTCCGGGTCAAACTGTGAGGTCTTTGGTGCTCTCTGAGCTTGGTGGTTTTCTTGTAGACATCTCATGACCTGACTAGGTAACATCATCAGTGAATCTGTTGTTTTTCTTTCAGAAAAACCTTGTGAGCTGCATTGCTCTCCATTTGGGAAAGAGTCTCCTATGCTGGTATCTGATAGGGTCATTGATGGTACACCATGTGGACCTTATGAGACTGACCTCTGCGTTCATGGCAAGTGCCAGGTGGAGTAACTTTTTGTTTGTTATTTCATCTGAACTAACATCTAAACACACTATTATGCTGAGTTCAATATTTATGGGGAAAATGCAAAGCTGTGACTATGGAATTGCCCTTACCTCTGTATTGACATAGATATCCAGTTGCTATGTCCTTGTGTAAGATTCCAGGTGGTTTGTCATTGTTTGCTATCTTCAAAAATGGATGGTGTTCTCTTATAATTCTTTCATTATCAATTGGAAGACGTTAAGAATCAGGCACTAAAAACTAGGGTTTCCCAAAAGCTTTGAGCTTTATATTACAGGTGATGAAAAATACTTGATACTGTGTAGAGAAAAACCTTTGCAAAATTGAGATTTGGCACCCATTGCTATTCAGGAGGAATTGTGTGATAGAAAAAGCATGGTCACCTTGGATTCCTGAGAATTGCTTTTCCTTGAAGGACCCCCAATTGAACTCAAATAGTTGAATTCCTTAGAACAGAGGTCCTCAACCTTTTGGGCATCAGGGACCGTTTCCGTGGAGAGAAGTTTTTCTGCGGACCAGAGGGTGAGTGGTTTTGTGTGCTGCCTGCATCTCATGGATGGGGCTTTGCTTGTTTGTGCAGACCGGTTGCTGGCATGCCATGGTCCGGTACTGGTCCACGGAGTGGGGGTTGGGGACCCATGCCTTAGAAGAGAAATAGCTTGGATTCTGTCTTGCTGAGAGAATCAAACTTTTGGACTGGCAATGTTGCTCTGCTAAATTCAGCGTTTTTTGGGTGGAGAACTAGTACAGAAAACAGACTGATGTTCCTAGTGGTGGCAGGTACTTTTATCAACTTGCACGTTACGTTGGCATGTCCAAGACAGGAAGCCCAAACTGGTCCCCCAGCACTCTCTTGTAGCTACTAAGGTAGGTAGAATGTCAAACACAGGAAGTGCTTTCCCTCAGCTCAGCAGATGGCTGGGTGACCTATTGAGTCCGTTGGAAAAAAATGTCAGAGTTCATATCACTGAATAGGTTTTTTTAAAAAAAAGGAGAAGGAGAAGGAGAAGAGAAAACACCAGTCATTTAACCCAGGGCTTTCTATATACCAATCATATGTATGCTCTGTTATTGTGCTTGTTGCCATGTTTGGAATTTTTAGACAAAATCTGACAAAATACCTGCTACCCAGTTAAATAATTTATGGATGTCTATTTCTGTACTGTGTTCTGAGTTCTTTTGTAGGCTTCTCTGCAATGACTGATTTTATTTATGTTAATAACGAATGGGTTTATATTGTTATTTTTACATGATTCAGCAAATAAATATTGTCTGAAAGCAAGATGTTTAAGTACCCCTGGTCTATAGTGTGAACAAGTGTTGACAGTTGGAAAATTTGCTACAGTGATATCATCTTGGCATGATTAAATTTCAGAATGACACTTAACAAGGGCAATATTTGTATTTATATACAATCTGCTATGGCAGGCTGAGCAGATGGGAAACACTACCGTGCTGCATGAAAAGGGCATTGTCTTTTTTTTTTTTTTTTTTACATGAGGCAATAATTACAATTGTGCTAGTCGAGTAACACCCAAACTATGAATGGGCTCTTTCCCCGAGGAATTTTAAAAAGCTTTGTTGAAAATAGCCCATCCATAATTGGGTAAAATTCAAATTGTGTGCCAAGAGAAATGACATAAGTTTTTTTAAAAAAATAATTACTAGTATAGGGGAGTTAAACCAAAAGCACTGAGAGATTTCACACTTTTGAGCTGATAGATCATTTAATGGGAATTCTACTATTCTATTATTAATTCCATTCCATTTGTCTGAAATGGTATAGGGTTTTCTGTCTGAGCAGGGGGTTGGACTAGAAGACCTCCAAGGTCCCTTCCAGCTCCTATTCTATTCTATTCTATTCTATTCTATTCTATTCTATTCTATTCTATTCTATTCTATTCTATTCTATTCTACTCTACTCTACTCTACTCTACTCTATTCTATTCTCCAGGATTTACCGACCTTTAGTGATCTCTAAAGGAGATTAAATATCTAAAATCTCTTTTTGTTATGACAATAACGAAAAAAAACCCTCTTGATCCCCATTAGAAAATCGGCTGTGATGGGATCATTGGATCTGCTGCCAAAGAAGATCACTGTGGCATTTGTAATGGAAATGGCAAAACCTGCAAAGTGGTGAAAGGGGACTTCAACCATACGAAAGGGATGGGTGAGTAGTTCTTGCACATATGAAGATTGAAACATCCTACTTTAATATTTACAGCATGTGGCATAACCATGTTATGATGATAAGCCACGATTAACCACAGATGATAAAGGGTCTGGAGCTAATCATATGACAGAAAGTTGAGGGAGTGAGGTATGTCTAGCGGCTAGCCTATCGAAGAGAAGGATTAGGGTAGACAGGATAATTTTCTTCTGGTACTTGAGGGGCTGTCACAGAGAAGAAGGGGCCAACCTACTCTCCAAAGCATCTGAGGGTCGGATAAGATGTAATGGGTGGAAGACCATTAAAGAGAAATGCAACCTAGAACTAAGGAGGAATTTCCTGACAGTGAGAACAATTAATCAATGGAACAACTTGCCTCGGTTTTTTATTTGCTGCTGATGTTAATGGCCAATCACTACTGACCCTTATTCAGTATTTTTCTATTTTTGGTTGTGTGGGATAGTTCGATGCACGTCTTGTTTTGCTGTGAATTATAACTGAACTTGGGGAAAAAGTGGGCTATTTATAAACGTACGTGATTTTAGCCAAAAAATTAGAGAAGTGATGGGTTAGTTATATAGTTTGAAATGCATTTCTCGTATAAGTGCAACCGAGCCCTATTCCAGTACTGGACTATTTTATTTCGATTCAGATTTGATGTTCTGTGTCTAAGCAGCCAGTTCCCAAAGAGGATTGCTTTATAATAGATATCAGAAAGCTCTTGCGAGACATGTCATCTCCTGCTGCTGAATCAGGCTCCTCCTGAAGAAGGATTATTTCTATTGACTGCTGACTTGCTGATCGTGTCACTAAACCTGTGCCAATTCCTTTTTTTTTCTTAGTCTCCAATAATCAATGTAAGAAGGTTTCCACCTGTGTGATGGCAAGGACAAAGGCAGTCCCGAAGTGTTTCTCGTGTAAGATGCCTCGGTTGCTTTCGGTGGTGCCGGTAGATAGATACTCTCTCGGTGAAGGGTCTTCCTGTGTATTCTTTGGTTGGCTTGAAATGCAGAATGTAGTCATGATTTGCTTAACAACCATCTTGCTTAGCAACAGAAAAATCTGGTCCCAATTGTCATAACTTGAGAACTACCTGTGGTGGGGTTTCTAGGCTCAGAAGCAGACAGGCTTGATGACAGAGCGGTCGATGGACATGTCATCCGATTGAAATATAAATCAAGAGGCTTCTTCATCGCAACCAGAATGTAAACCTTCACGATTCCGCCAGCTGATGACTCTGCCTTCGAAGGAGAAGCCCAACGGGAAGAGAGGAAGACACATCTACCTAATATGTCCCACTGGTTATTCAAAGAGGGAGCTGGATGCGATCAGAATGAAAGAGGAAGATATTGGGAAGAAGGCATTAATTATGTCCGCCGTGTCTTTCTCTTCTGGGAAATGGCATTATTTTCTCTGGAGGAATAAAAACCAGCTTTCCATCGGTGAAGGTGAAAACAACCACTTAGCGCATTTCATACAAACATTCCCATATTTAGATATAGCCATGTCTTTGGAAAATAGTAATTCATTGGAACCCTAGCAGATACTATAAGAATTTCACGAAGAATTCCAAACTTATCATTGATGCCATGAACTGTTGGCTTTGAAATCTATCCATAACTTCAAGAAATCATGGCAGGACAAGAAGCAATGGATGGAAACTAATCAAGGAGAGAAGCAACCTAGAACTAAGGAGAAACTCCCTGACTGTTAGAACAATTAACCAGTGGAACAACCTGCCTCCAGAAGTGGTGAATGCTCCAACACTGGAAGTTTTTAAGAAGAGACTGGACAGCCATTGGTCTGAAATGGTATAGCATTTCCTGCTTGAGCAGGGGGTTGGACTAGATAGAAGACCTTCACGCTCCCTTCCAACTCTATTATTTCATTATTAAGGTTTTCCTCCAATGACTATGGCTAGAGGCAAAAAAAAAGGAATTATGGTATCAAAGGCTGAAGGAAGTTGTTGATCACTCCTTCTTTCCTGATTTCTCCGGAAGGCACAGCACCAGCTGTTCTCCCTCTGTGAACCTTCACAGGAATAAAGGCAATCTTTCTGTCCCCTTCGCTCTGCTCCCTTCTGCTCCCTTCCCACCAGCTCAGGCGTCTCCCTCATTTGAGCCCTGCCATATAATTTTAACGTGCCATTCTCTCCGAGCCCAGTTGTGCATTCCTGAGGCCTCGATGTAACACAGACGAGAAAGAAAGAGGATTTTGTGCCAGAAAGAGAGAATTGTTCCTGAGGTAGAGTGCGCTTGCATAGAATACTACGAGTTAACAAACAACAAAGAGTTCCCAGGAGACTTGGGAAACCTCATTGTTCGATCTGAAATTATTTTTTGCTAAACGGATTGGAATGGGACCTAACAAGAATGGAGCCTGTTATTCTGTTGTAGCACAATTGTCTTAACTGTCTCTCCGGAATTGGTGTTGAAAAGAATGGACCAGATTCTATTGAAAGTTGAGAACGATTTAATTGTAGAGGGGTTTTTTTTGTTTTTTTTGTCATAGTAAACTGAAAATTACTGAACTTTCCGGCATCCATGCTGCAATTACAGATTGCTAAGGGAGTGGTGACTTGTAAATGGTGAGAGACAGTATCAAGTCTTACACTTCTCCAAATGCTGGGAAATTGATGTCCATTAATGTATAAGGGTAAAAAGAAATTCAAAACCCCAGGAGTCTAGTGGTATAGAAATAGTATTGTATTTGCTAAATAATTTGTTAACTCTACATCTACTTGTCCCAAAAGGCAATTGGATTTTTGCTTATAATATGAAAAGGGACTTGAAGACTCTTCCCACTGGGATTGACTTCTCCATTTCTCGTGAATATTGGCATTGCTCTGAGGTGTTCTGTCAGTGGATATTTGGTATAAATCTGGGGCTAGCTATGGAGGATCCAACAACAGAGTACTTATTTTAATTCTTTAAATTCCTGGATAAAATCTTGAAATTGTACATTTAGAGAATGTCCATAAGTTTGTCCTAACATTGATGACATGTGTAATTTCAAGCTGCTTCTTACCCTCTTCTCTTTGGTTGTGTCTTGTTATTACGTCACCTTATCGGTGGTAATAATCTTTGGTTTGGGGGTCTGTCTATATTGCCAAGATATTTATTTATTTATATAAAGCATTTATTTTACTGGGTTTATGTATCACTCCAGTTATGTCTGGCGCCAAACAGCTACTGTTCTCCAACAGTAATAAAGTTAAAGCTAAAAAAAAACAACCCCACAAATAATATAACAAAGTAGACTTTCAATAGTAAAGAATATATGTATCATAGGTTGAACTGTTGGGATCTTAGCACTCACAAAACTGGTTGATTCCAGCAGAGAATTTCATTACCACGCTACGTAACATCCTCAGTGCATTGCTAAGGCATAATGATGATATTTAGCTTGCTAATGAAACATCTGTAGGAGAATAATCAAATTCAGATAAGACTGCAAGCTCCAAATATGTAAATTTCTCAAACACTAAGGAACATCTGTAATGCCAGTTCTTTCTGCAGAAGGGATATAAACCCTTCAAATTCCTGAATTCCCACTGAAATAATTTGCCCTCTTAGAATGGGATGGTTTGATACAGCTTGAACAGGCTGAATGAGAGTAAGCCCAAATTCTTGCTGTCAAGCTGTATATTAGACAGCTGTTTGCCTGGATTATGATCGCTTGCATAACTGTGGTAGTAAAAATAATGATTAAAACAATAGTTAATCCTAACGGCAACATGATAGCCACATGCATTGAAATCATAGCAGTACTGAATCCAACATGTTGGCACCAGATTCTTAACTCTGAACTTTTTATTGTAGCCCTCTTTTCAGTTTTCTTTTCTGTGGTATTAAGCTATTTCTTTGGTAAACTAATGAAAGGAGAAGAAAATGAAAAATGAATGTGTAGTCAGGGCAGGGGTCATTTCATAAAAAGATTAGTAAGTGAAAAACAAAAGACAAAAACAAGGAATGCTTATTGAAACAGATGCTCTATTGTCATATTGTTCTTGATTGGAAATGCTTCTGGTAGAAACCAAATCAAAGTTTTCCAATATGGTTCCTTCCAGATACACAACAGGACACCAGGTCTGGGAAGCTGGACTAGCCAGGATGGGCCTGATTGATTGATTGATTGATTGATTATGTGTCATCAAGTTGTTTTCAATTCCTAGCAACCACATAGTTAGATTTTCTCCATCATACCAACCTGTTCTTTTAAATCTTCCAATGATGCATTAATTGAATTATTTGGGAGAAATAGAGATAGTTAATTTAGTTTTTACCATATGGTCTTCATGCTTATCTTGAGCGATATTGCCCTAGTTTCCCACTTATGCAAAAGCATAATTTGTTGAGCCATAATTTATTAAATCAACCAATTGGTTGGGTTGACATAGCATTGTTAGCCAGGGCTTCCCTACCACAGTGACTGAACATGTGTGAAGTATGACATCAAGTTTCCCACAAATTAAAATGGTTGGCACATTAGTTGAAGCCAAAAGAAATTGAAATATCCTTAAGGGCTTTCTCAGAACAATTTTTGATTCATGGAACAAGTTGCAACAATTTTAACCGAGATCTGATCACACAAAGATATCCAAACATCACCAATTGGGGTTTATTGCATTGTAATTTTAGTTATGTAGGAATTGAATTTGAAACATGGGCACATTCATTTCTTTCTCCTGTTTAAGTCATAATTCATATCTTTGAAATTTGGGTGGCCCAGTGTCTCACCAAATTTCAAAATGAGTGTTGGAGTGGTGGATTTTTTTCTTCCAAACTGTAAAGGATGCATACTTAGCCACCAGGACCACTTATCGGTTTCCCTGTGTATTTACTTTGGGATATAATGCGGCTCATACGTTCTTTTTCTTGGTTGTAGGTTATATTGAAGCAGCTGTGATACCTGCTGGAGCAAGACGTATCCGGGTGATGGAGGACAAACCTGGTCACAGTTTTTTGGGTAAGGAGAGAAAGAGTGAAAAGCGTAGGGACTTGGTTGAAGCAACATGGGTGGGGCTTTGGAGAAAAGTTTATTTTATTGACCATCGCTATATCTCAGAGACTTTTACTACTAGGATTCTCATCATTGAAAAGTAAACATTTGGAGGTAATTTCAGAAAGAGGCTAATGGTAGCTATAGAGAGGGTGTCCAGCTATGACGGGCTGCTTTTTGCAAATCAGTTGTTAACTTATTTTCTATATTTAGAAGAATGATGATCCTTTGTCTAGTTCCCAAGTCCAGTTGGGTTCTTGGCTCAGTTGTGTCCATTCAAGGAAGGCCGTCTGCTTGGCATTTGAGCCCTGGTGGCCCAATGGTTAGAATGCAGTATTGCAGGCAAGCACTGCTCACAGCCCGGAGTTCAATTCTGATGGGGCTCAAGGTTGATTCACCCTTTCCATCCTTCCGAAGTCAGTAAAATGAGGGTCCAGATTATTGGGGGCAATATGCTGACATTGTAAACTGTAAAGCACTATGGGGCAGTATATAAATCTGAATGCTATTGCCATTTGGTGGGAACGGTTGCAAAGGCAAATAGACAGCTCCATCAGAGGCATCTGTTGATGTCACCCCCACATGATCAAGAACATGGCCACTCATTAGTTGGAGAGTGGAAGAAGCCTAGTCACTACACACATTGCTGGAAGCACATGGTTTCTGATGACAATGTCTCTTTTTCTTCAGCTTTTCCCACCTCTGACCTGCTTGGAAACTGGTTGCCATCTAATTTAGATAACACCCTTGGTTACCATAGTTTTGATTTAACACCAACATTCCTAATAATAAAGAGAATAGAGCCTGGGATAAAATATTTAGTGCTCTAGTCAACGTGCAGCCAACCGGCCATGCTTTCTTGCAAAAATTTCCTTCCTTCCTTCCTTCCTTCCTTCCTTCCTTCCTTCCTTCCTTCCTTTCTTCCTCCCTCCCTCCCTCCCTTTTCCTTCCTTCCTTCTTTCCTTCCTTCCTTCCTTCCTTCTTTCCTTCCTTCCTTCCTTCCTTCCTTCCTCCCTCCCTTCCTTTCTCCCTCCCTCCCTCCCTACTTAATGTATATACTGCCTTTCTCGTAGCAAAAGACTCTGGGTGGCTTCCAGTATTAAAGTAATAACCAGGCTTGTTGGGGAATTCTGGGAGTTCACACATGTTAAAGGTGCAAAGTTTAAGAAACAATGACCTCAACCATGCCGTCTTAATAAAAAGTCATAGGAATTAGAAGCCAGCCATTCTACTTTGACCTCCTTTCTGCTTTTATTCTTCAGTGGATCCTCAGTGTTTGGTTATTATCATAATGCTACATCTTCTTGAATTTTATTTTGAACTATTGTCCAGACATTCAGATGGGCATTTTATTGTTGTCTATTTACTATACAGCCTGTTGTCTCTAGCTGAAGACTGATGTAGCTGAAGTGGCAGGGCTTGAGCCAACTTTTATGATGTGAACGGAGAAAAAGTCTGCCCATCAAAACCCAGAATTCTGAAACTTTGTGCAAATCTTCCTTCTTGCCTACGGAGTCTGGTTTCCTTAGCTCTTGCTTCTGCTTAGCTTTTGAAATTGGTCACGTATTTGGCTTTTATGATCCCGTTAAGTGTTGTCTGCAGGCTTTCAAGTCTGTTTTCACATCCACATGGGTTAGAAACTTTCTTTCTTAAAAAGGGATGCTCAGAAAGCTGCTTAGAATGTTCGGCCTCACAATTTGCAGGATCTCCTCCAAAAAAATGGATCACTGCCAAAATTACAACGTCTTGCTTGCTTTGCTGCTTTTATTTCTGCTTGTATGGCAGGCGATATTTGGAACTAAAAGGTCTCCATTTTTCTAGGCTTTGACATAGTAAAACAGTGTCTGCCAGTGCTCTGGTATCTTGCAAATCTTTCGAATTTTTGAAAAATCGGCATTTTTATTAACAAGGTTGGATTAATTTGGATAGCTGCTGCCAGTTGAACATTGTCAGGTATCAGTTGGAATGAAGACAGGCATAAAAAGGCACCTCTTTCTGCTTTTGCCTACCTATTGATTGAATGCTCGTTGTCAAACGTAACTGCTCTTGTTGTTTTTGTTTTCTTTTTAATCTGGTTGTCAAACTTGACTGTTCACATTAAGGTTCCAGCTCCTTTACGGCTTCACACTTCTGCCTGATCAGCCTTGTTGCATTAAAATTATCTCATCTGTCTTCGTGTTTTGTGAAGGAGATCTTCGTTTCAAAGGAAAACAAATTAACTTGTGTTGATAGATTCACTTTTGCAAGGCAGCTGTCACTGAATTCCTTAAAGACAGCTTTTCTCTCCCCCTCTCTCTCTCTCTCCAATTGCTACGGAAAATTCCCATCTTGCAATATTTCAGTATAGGTAGTCTTTTAGTGACGGTTTGAAGTTAAAGCAGCACCGAAAATAGTGACGTGACAGCGTCCCTACTGTCACGTGATCAAAATTTAGAGGCTTGGCAACTGGCATGTATTTATGACGGTCGCAGTGTCCCGGGATCATGGGATCAATTTTGGTGACCTCTTTGACAAGCAAAATCAATCGGGAAGTCAGATTCTCTTAACAACTGTGTGACTAAATAACTGCAATGATACCCTTAACAACTTGTTGATGTCTTATTTTTGTTCCCGACTGGGCAACACTCTTTGTAAACGTAGCTGGGTGCTTCATGTTGAATTGATGCTTCAGCGAGTTCCTTTCCATTTACTTTCATCCCACACTGGCTGGCTTGATTGATTTTTGCAAATTATTTTGGACAGGAAATGCCTTACACTTTGGAGGTATCCAGAGCTGGAAAGAATCTGACTTGAAAGAAAAAGGTCATGCAAATTTGGATAACAGGCTGAGAGGATTGGTTCCTGTTCACAATGTGTGTGGGGGGGGGGGAGTACCTGTCAAAACTTAAGTATGGAGAAAGACAGTAATGGCTTGAAGGCTACCAATTCCCATGGGCTTCTTTTAGAAGTTTGGAAGCTCCAGCTCAAAACGCCAAGAAGCTCACAGAAAGATGGAAGGATGGTTGGACCATTTGCTGAGGAGACTTGCTTGAATTTGTGGCCGAGAAGACTTAAGAACTTTGTTGAACCCCTTTGCCTATTTGATTCTTTGCAGCTTTGAAAGATTCCAGTAAGAAATCCATTAATAGCGACTGGAAAATTGAACTTCCTGGTGAGTTTCAGATAGCGGGGACCACCATTCGTTACGTACGACGAGGCCTGTGGGAGAAGATGTCTGCCAAAGGACCAACCAAAATACCACTTCATCTTTTGGTAATTGTCTGACTGTTCATTGTATTCTTCTGGAGATGTAAATGTTCACGTTCTGACTTATTTTCTTCCCGTACTCACTGAAACGATTTACCTGTTAATGCCAAAGAGATGTAAAATGTCTCCAAATAAAGTGGTGGAATCAGGAAGATCCTGGTCTCACTCTCCTGGTTGGCCAAATCCTTATCAAATAATTTACAGATCACACAATAGCAGAGTTGGAAGGGACTTTGGAGGTCTTCTAGTCCAGGGATCCCCAATCCCCAGTCCATGGACTGGTACCAGGCCGTGGCATGCCAGCAACCGGTCCGCATAGACCAGCAAAGCCCCATCCATGGGATGCAGGCAGCATTCAAAACCATGCACCCTCTGGTCCACGAAAAAAACTCTCTCCACGGAACCGGTCCCTGGTGCCCAAAAGGTTGAGGGCCTCTGTTCTAGTCTGCTCAAGCAGGAGACCCTAAACCATTTCAGACAAATTTCTGTCCAATCTCTTCTTTAAAACCTGCAGTGATGGAGCCCCCACAATTTCTAGAGTCAAAACCTTTCCACTGATTAATTGTTCTCAATGATAGGAAATCTCTCCTTAATTCTAGTTTGGCGCTCTCTTGGAAAAAGCGTCCATCTATTTAATTTTAATTTTACTATGTTTAAAGCACTCTCTCTTGGTCGTAGGCTGTGTTCCCGTCTAGATTGCAGACCGCAATTAAACTGGGCTAGTCCCCAAACGAACCAGCCTGAGCTCATTAGAATGAATGAGATATAAATTAGGATTGGGTCCAGAACTAGGGTTTTAATTAAAGACTTTTGTGATGTGATGTCTTGTTACTAGGCAAAATTTATTGTTTGCTATTTTGAAAACGTGGCTGAGAAAGAGTTTGAAAATAATAGTAATAACAAACAGAGAAATGTTATGTAACCCAGCCAGGTGCTTCCCAGATGTGTTTAGCTTTGTTTCCCAGGATTCCAGGGACATCTTCGAGTATTATGGGCTGGGAAGGGTGGCATAAACCCTCTGAAAAGTCCAGTGCATTGTGAATATTTCAGGAACACGTTGTGGATACAATCTCAGCAGTGTCTTCTCTTGAATTCTTAAGGAATAAGAAGGGCACGTTAGGACATGTTCAGCACTTTCCAGCAGGTGTGCATTGCAAGAGGAGATCAGGTTTAAGCAGCTTGATTTTTAGAGAAGCTTCGGCATTCTCTCCCTCCCCCTCGTGCTTTTAAAATCAATTTTTCTAAGAACCTTAAAACATAATCACCCGGATGAAGGTAGGATGACCTCTGTTGGAAACTAACAAGGGAGAATGAGAAAGAGTGGGCAGGAGACACACCATAGAACTGTTGCACGGAATGAGTTTCAGATGATCCATTAGTTTCTGCAGTCTTCTTTCCAGATTGAGAGACTTAAGAAGTTCCCCCCCTCCCCTTTTTAGCAGAACTTGCCTGAAATACATTACTGTAAGTATGTTTCCTGGAGAAATGAGTCTACAGTTAGGTATGTTTCAGACCTCCGCTTGGCAACGGGAGTGTCCAAGGGAGGCTGCCTCTTTCCAAGCTGTTCAGCAAAGTTATTCGCATCTCGTTTGGTTAAATAAGGGCAGGGTGGGGCTTCACGTCTTGCACTGGCTGGTGCTGAAGCTTCTTGGATCTTGCAAAAAAAACCCTCTCCAACTATAGCTCCAGTTGTCTGATTGCCTGAGCGCTGGCTCCCGATACAGACTAATAAAGCTCCTTCTGCAGCCGCAGATGTGTCGGCTATTGTCTTGCCCACCCCCACCCTGTCTTGCAAAAGATATTTGTCTCTTTTCATACAAGCCAGCAGAACAATTTTTAAAAGGCAAAAAGATGCCTGCTTTCATAAGAAAGGAAAAGGACCAGAACAGCCTCTGGGGTGTTCATGGAAGCAGAATTCGCAGCAGATGTTCAATAAACACTATAGGGTTCTAGCTTGGACCTGGATCAAACTTGGAGTGTAGAGTTGTCAACCCCTGGTCTCTGACATCATGTGCTGGAACAGCTGGCTGGAATCTAATGCGCAGCAAAGAGAAGGGCCTGTCTTAGCGACCAAGTGGTGGCTGGAAGCCAGATTTCAAGTGTTTTAACCAGGTCAGGCCAAACTGGAAACTTCCTGTTCTAATGGGGCTTGCTTCTATACATCCCTGAGGTTTACGAACAATTTTCTCAAGTAATTCGGTAGACTGATCTCTCTCGGGTTGAGGTTTTATTATTATTATTTTATTATTTCTCGTGGGCCTGTTTCTTTCTCAGCCTTCCTCGGAGGAGTTCAAGGGAGAAGGCGCCGTTTCTTCTCCTTCCCTTGCCTTTTATCATTGTGAGAAAAGTATGAAGTTAATGGTGCTAAAAGAAAGTGAGTAGACTAAGTCTTCCCAGGATGGTAAAGTAAAGCTTTGATCTTTCCAGGTTAGTTCACCATTCCAGTCAACTAAATGTCAATCATCCAGGTCATGGTTGTCCCAAAGGTGCTTTTTTCCAAAAGACAATTGGACTTTCTTGGTGATTTTTCTTCAAAAATGTTTCGCTTCTTATCCAAGAATCTTCCTCAGTTCTGAAGAACTAAACAGAAGAAGTTTTTTTATATATGAGAAGCAAAACTTTTCCAAAGAAAAAACTCATAAAGTCTGATTTCCTTTTGGAAAAAACTACTTTTGGGATATTCAGATCAGCCTTCATGAAGCTGTTTCCCTCCAGCTGAGTTGGATTCAGGGCCTTTTTACAACTTGTAGAGGCCAAGGATGGGAGGTACCTACCAGCCGTTGCTGCATCCTTGCATCAGCATTACTATTTTTTTTTCTACCAGTTTTTAAAGCCATGAGTCAGCAAAACAGTTTTCACCTCTTTGATAAAAGAAGTAGGCTGTATGTATATCTGTCAAAGGGCAAGTTTGCTCTGCCGTGCCTCCTGCATAAAATGGCCTGTTAGTAGCCATCCTCGTCCAAATGGTCTGGGCTGAATCCAGAAGTCAAAGCAAACTCTGCTCCTGAAGGGGACAGAGTGGTTAGAACTTATCTTCCTGTCCCAACATATTCATAGGACTTGTCCCCAAATTAAATACAACAGGAAGAAATTAAATAAACGTATGGGAGAATAATCTTACTAACTTGATTTACATTAAATTAAGGTTTGATTACATCAAATTTTGTTTTTGTCATGACTCCATCAGCTTCTTTGGTTTGACTTCACCCACTCTTTGTTGTGCCTCTCCAAAACATCCCTCAAAGGTTAAGGGGGTGTCATGGTCCATTCTACTCCCAAAGTTTTGCAATTTAAGATCGTCCCATCAAAGGCAGCACTTGATTTCTCCTAGTTCAGTGGTTCTCAACCTGTGGGTCGGGACCCCATTTGGGGTCAAACGACCATTTCACGGGGATCACCAAACCACGCTGTCCGCCATTTTTTTCCCTTTTCCCTAGCTGTCCTACTCCCTCTTATTGGTGGCCACACCCACTTGGGGGTCACCACAACATGGGGAACTGTATTATGGGGTCACGGCATTAGAAAGGTTGAGAACCACTGTCCTAGTTGGTCTTGTTCAGAGAGGAGGAAGCAGTTACAGATGGCTTAGATTAGTTGGAAAGATTCCATACTACGCATTAGATCGTGCACTTCTGTATTCATTTCAATTTGTTGAGTGGCTTCTAAATCCTTAATGGCCATATCAGTTGCACTCCTGCCATTTGGCAGGGTAAAAAGACTCGTTCTCTGTCTTCTCATCCTTAATTCCAATCTGCCGTAAGGTCAGGAACGTATCTTCAGGCACATTGCGCTCAGCCCCCGACAAATGTATTTTATCAGGGGGAAAAAAGCACTACCGGATGCTAAAACATTAATTCCTTTAATTTAGGTGCTTTAAGCTCACTCACCTACAAGCTTCTACTCCATTAGTAGAATAGAATAAACCTGGAAGGGACCTTGGAGGTCTTCTAGTCCAGCCCCCTGCTTAAGCAGGAGAACCTACACCATCTCAGACAGGTGAATGCCCAGTCTCCTCTTGAAAATCTCCCGTGATGGAGCACCCATGATTTCTGGGGGCAAGCAGTTCCACCAGTTAATTGTCCTCACTGTCAGAAAGTTTCTCCTTAATTCCAGGTTGCTTCTCTCTTTGATCAGTTTCCAACCATTGTTTCTCCTCCTGCCCTCTGGTGCTCTGGTGAACAACCTGACCCCCTCTTCTTTGTGGCAGCCCCTCAAATACTGGAACACTGCTATCATGTCCACCCTATTTCTTCTTTTCTTTAGACTAGCCAAACCCAAGTCCCGCAGCCGTTCTTAATATGTTTTAGACTCCAGGCCTTTGATCATCTTAGTTGCTCTTCTCTGATTTTTTTCCAAACTCTCAACATCTTTATTGTGATATGGGGACCAATATTGGCTTCAGTGATGCTTTATTTGCATAACCTATTTACGTAAAGGTAAACAAGGCCCATATGAATTCGCGAGTTGCTCTAAGTCTTCCGGTTGGAAGAAGAAAGTGGGAAGGAGGACCTGAGACCATGAATTTCACGAGAAAGTTGGGCTGTTTATAAATTAGCATCCAGAGCAGCATATATGTTGAAAGAAAGAAAGAAAGAAAGAAAGAAAGAAAGAAAGAAAGAAAGAAAGAAAGAAAGAAAGAGAGAGAGAGAGAGAGAGAGAGAGAGAGAGAGAAAGAAAAGAAAGAAAGAAAGAAAGAAAGAAAGAGAAAGAAAACAAAAAGGACCATGAAATAACCTTACACAGCTTGTTCAACGCTAAATCCTCGAAATGTCTCTGAGCACCTAAATGTCTCTGAGTACCTAAACTGGTACTCTCTGTTTGTGTGGTGAACCTCAGTTGTCAGACTTCTTTTATAGCTTAGTCTTAACCATAGGGTCAGCTAGGCAAAGCGGGATTTGCAAATCCAGCACATCTGGAATACACCAAGTTTGGAAAACTGATCTAGAAGTTGATTAATGACTCTTCTTTGCTAAAGGTCAATGAGTGCCCCTCCCAACTGATGGGATGTGGAACAAGAACGAGATTGGGGAGTTATTAACTTCCAAATATGCTATTTTAGCATTCCCAGCTGCATAATCAAACAATCTGGCTTTTGTTTCTTTGATTGCATGCTGCTGTTTGGTTTGGTTTTTAGGAGTGTTACAGTGCTATTTCAAGTTACCATACCATTAGCCTTTAAAGAAATATAAAAAACAGCAAGCACTGAACTTACATTGATTCCTCCCATTGAAAGAAACCTTAGCTTTTTTTCTGCCTTAGCCTGAAGTATGAAAGGTATGTCCAGCTTGCAAGGTTCTTGTGAAAAGTAAAATACTCCTATCTCCATTTTTTAGCTGCTTTCCTTTTTTTTTTAAACCTCGTAGTTTCAGAAATGCATTGCTATGATTTATCTTTTGGAACTCTTTTTATTTGTTTGTTTGTTTGTTTATATCATGTCAAGTGTTTCGATGTTAATATCTCTTCATCACCCTGCCCAAATGGAGAGCCAGTTTGGTCCAATGATTACGGCACAAGGCTACACAGCAGGAGACCCTGAGTTCAAGTCCCACCTTAGACATAAAAGCCAGTCACTCTCTCTCAGCCCAACCCATCTAGCAAGGTTGCCGTTGTGGGTAAAATAGGAGGAGGAGGAAGGGTGTGTTGGATATGTTTGTCGCCTTGAGTTATTTGTAATATAATAATAGTAGTAGTAGTAGTAGTAGTAGTGGTGGTGGTAGTAGTAATACAAGCAGCGGCATGTCCAAGTAGCAACAACGGTGCACTGGAAGATATGCAAAAAATATCATTTGCCTGTAAGCAAGAACTGGTGGGATCATAACATAGAGAAAATCATAGAAAATGATAAAATTAAACTGCTCTGGGACTTCAGAATTCAAACAGACAAGCACCTTCAACATAACACCCCGGACCTAACAATTGTTGATAAGAAAGACAAAAAAGTCTGGATAGTGGATGTGGCAGTGCCTGGAGATAGCAGAATAGAAGAGAAAGAACTGGAGAAGATAACAAAATACAAAGACCTACAAATAGAAATAGAAAGACTGTGGCAAAAGCAAGCAAGAGTAGTACCAATAGTAAGAGGCGCCTTGGGTGCAATTCCAAAACAACTGGAGCACCACTTGAACACCATTGGCACTGACAAATTTGCCATTAGTCAATTGCAAAAGGCGGCCTTACTAGGAACTGCTTCCATCCTGCAATGATATCTGTAAGAACATCAAACATCCACATCTGCCTATCCGAGGTCCTTGGTAAGGACTCGATAGGTAGACAAAATGCCAAATCCAGTCTGAACATCTGGCTGACTGTGCGATGATCCATAGTAATAATAATAATAATAATAATAATAATAATAATAATAATAATAATAATAATGGCAGCATATACAAACAAATGTTGGTTCTTTCAACCAGGTACTGTTATTCCATGATCAGAACTATGGGATACATTATGAATATACCATTCCTGTGAATTATTCTACTGAAAATAGAAGTGAGTCAGAACATCAACAGGACTCGCTGTATATATGGACACACAGTGGATGGGAAGACTGCAATGTACAGTGTGGAGGAGGTAATGTTCATTTATTTTTCTAAGGATTTGGTACCCCTACCTACTAGCTGGAATTCTTGAGATGACTCCTGTTATTTATAAAGTACAGCAAAGTGAGATCTAGGTTGCTGGGAATAATAATAAAAAAAAGGTATGCTATTTTCATTTCCGACTACAGGGTAGTAGAAGTCCACAAGTCATAAAAGGGCCAAGTTTGAAGACCCCTGCTTTAAAGCTATCATATCTGGTGAAGACTCCAAGAAACCTGGGCAAAATAAATTCTCTTTTAATTGGAAATCTCAGCATTTGACCTGGAATGCAAACTCTTTTTTTTTTTTTTTTTTTCTACTGAACTCTAGCTCTTGAATTGACTGATCTGGGAAGATTGATGATCAAACGTTTTCCATCATTGCAGACAAAATTGGTCTGGAGAGGAATCAGAAATTCAAGACAATGAGCTGGAGATGATCAAGTCTTCCTTCCACCTAAGTAAAAAACAAAGGCTCCCCAATGTGTTCTGTAACTATTACATGATGGGAGAAACAAAAGTAGACTTGCCTGCCAAAAAATATGTCATCTGATCTGTTTTTGCTTCAGGTTCCTAAGTGGCTACTTTGCAAAGTAGCAAATTTGGTGGTGGGGGGGAGAAACCACTGACAATTTGCTTACAGTCGAGTGGGATTCCGCTATTTTCTGCTGCACCAATATTTCTGAGATCCAGAAATCCATTGCCAAACAACGGCAGATAAGTATTTTAATAAATAGCTCTGCCTTGCCAAAAATCACTCTTTCCTCCTGTCTTTTGCATTCAGGGGAACGGAAAACCGTTGTGTCCTGCACCCAGATTGTTAACAAGACTATGATACTGGTGAACGACAGTGCTTGCCAGAGGGCAACCCGTCCAGAGCCACAGGTCAGAATGTGTCATGCCCATCCCTGCCAGTCCAGGTAAGAAGCGTGTTGCAAATATCAGAAATACATTTCCCTTGGAATACCTAAAGGGCAAAGAACACTTTTGAGCCCCCAAAGAAATGTTTCTATTTGGAATCTTCATTGCGTCTGTGGGTACCTATCCAGGGGAAAAAAGATGGAAGTGAGTTAGGCCTGAAAGAGCATCGTATGAGCTAGGAGAAGTCTTGGGAGCAAGTCACCAATCTTCCTCCTAGTAAATGTATTTGGACACCAACCATGCAACAAATGGTTGCCGTTTTATGAACAGGCACACCGTGTGCCCTATTATTTAGGAATGACATGTTCTCAGTGCCATTATTATTAATGGTTGGTTGTGCAGTCACCCAGGCGTTTATGCTGGATTTGGCATTTTTGTGCCCCTTTCCCAAGGACTTGGCAAGGCAGTTGTTCCTTGATGGTGCTGAAAGTATTGTCACAGGATGTAAGTTATTCCAAGGAAAGCTGCCTTTTGCAATTGACTGCTGGTAATTTTGTCAATGCCAAGGGTGTTCAAGTGGTGTTCCAGATGTTTTGGAATTGCCCCCAAATTGATCAGTAGAGTTTGAAGCACTGAAGAACGAGCATCATTCTTTTATACTTTCTAGTAACAGAACTTTTGATTCATCCACTGGTCAAACCATAACCAAAGTAGAGATAATTATGCTAAGCAGGCTCTATCTTATGGGGTTTTTTTTTCTCTACCCAGTGACCCTTTTTATCTGCTAAGTTATTCATTTGCTATTTGGTCAGAAACGGAGTGAAGGAGACAATCTTCACACTGATTGCTTCCCTTCCTCTACTGGACAAACAATTAGAAACAATGCTAAAGTGTCTTTGAGCAAGCTTATAGTCACTTTAGAGGTCAAGCAACTAAGAGTGGGCCTGTTATTGCTTCGAAGCACATGGCCAGACAATGCTTCAGGCTTGGCCACACCCCGCTCAGCATTTTCACATTCCTTCCAGGTTGGCCATACATTCACACTTCAGAGACTGCCAAATGGAAACATTTTCTGAAACACATTCCCTTCATCTCTGTAGAATTTAAATTTCCATTTGTGTTTGCCCACACAGACATTAGAAATGCATGCTTGGCATATTCGTTGACCGAGAACATCTTAAAGAGAACGTTCTCTTTCACCATGGATAGAGTGTTTTATTTTTTAAATATAGAGATATATTTTCTTTTCAGAAATTCTGAGTTTGTTTTCCAAGTCCAAATGGAATTATTATAGGATTCCTAACAGTAAGTTCTTCTGTTTTCCACATCACACTCTGACTTTTTTCTGCACGAGTTGTAGGAAACGAGAACAGGGGTTGTAATTTCTGACACTGTGATAAAGTTACAAAATAAATCTGGGATGTTAAACATGATACTCACCAGAAAGTGAGATCAGTGGTTACCTTTAAGATCTGAAACGTTTGTGTTTGATTCTTTGATGTTCAATTCTTCAAAAGTTGTTATGTCTTTGATTATCCAGCTCTAAAATTGCAGTACGTTTAGCAACCAAAATTAGGATTGGCCACTCCGTCGTTAAGCAAAGCAATCACTAAGGGACACAACAACTGTGCTGATGATCTTATTTCAGCTCTCCTTTGCTTTACTGACCTGCAGAGGTCATAAATGCATGAGTTGGTTGCAAAGTTACTTTTTCATCACCGTTGTAACTGCAAACATTCATTAAACAAGGCAGTCCTTTAGTTGTCTTACCTTGCAGTGTGAAAGTTTGACTGGGAGGAAGATCAGTAGAGAGCCACAATTAAGGAGAAATTTCTTGTCAGGGAGAACAATTAACCAGTGGAACTGCTTGCCTCCAGAAGTTGTGGGTGCTCCATCATTGGAGGTTTTCTAGAAGAGACTGGACAGCCATTTGTTCTGAATGGTAATAGTGTCTTCTGCTTGAGGAAGGCCTTCTAGGTCTCTTCCAACTCTGTTATTCTGTAATTCTGAGTTTGAGTAAAAAAATAAAGCCTGTTTCTTTAGCAGCTTTGCAATGAGTTCTTGAAAGGAGAAGATCCTAAACCCTGCATTTCCCCTCCATCTTCAAACAGAATTTTGGGCCCTTCTCAAGTTCATTTTCCTGTCTTTTCTTATACACCACTGAACTGGAAAAAAAAAAGAAGAAGAAGTACGGGAGTCTGCCTTTTTTCAGCTGCCTTTCTTTTCCCTTTCATCAAAGTCACCATCTATTTTTCTCTCTCCGTTCTTTGCCCCACAGCTATAGACCACATTCAACTACACTACCACAATCAGGCCTGCACGGCAACCTTTTTGTTCTTGAGGTGTGACAATAAATTAGCGAAGCCGTTCTCTCCCCATCCCACCCATAGTGTTACACCGCCTTCCATCTGATTTGAGTTTTCAGCCAATAATGGTTAACCAAAGTCCTAATTTTTTGCTCCTGGGTTTCATTTTCTTTTCATTAAGACGGCTGGCTCGCTGTGGTCTTTTTGCCCATTCAAACCGTTCCTTGTCTCTTAATTCCTATATACTGCTTGGTGCTTTAGAAGCAGGCCAAAGACAAAGATGGGTTTGCTTTGCAATGGTGGCGGTAGTGAGAGGGCTAATCAAGTTGACAGGCTTAAAAGCCAGACTAGAATTTTAACTTCCCGAAAAAGAGGATGGTTTTCATGCTTTATTTCACGCTCCCACACATCAAGGGCTCTAACTAACTGCTTTCTTTTGACGTGAGGTTTTTTCAAATTAGAGAAGAAAGCTGCCTTCGGAACAGATCTCCCTAAGTGCTTAATGGATGCCATAAAGAGCATTTATCAGATGCATTCCTTTTCCTCATAACCGTCAGTTAAGGCTTGCTTTGAGCTATTCCAGCTTTATAGCTTAGATCTACCAAGAGAGTCGTGAATAGTATCTGGGAAACCTGGAAGAGTAGATTGATGAAAAGTTGGAGAGAGTCTAGAACAGGGACCCTCCCAAACTTTTCAGCTGAGTGAGCCCTTCATAAAGTTTCAGATTATTAATCAGCCCCCAGGCCCGTACAGTGTTATATGAAAATCATTTCAAAAACACTATTCTAACTAATGAACAATAACAGCAATAATAGACAATTCAAAGCAACTCTCAATGATGGTTGACATCTAACCCTGAGTAATGGTCTCGCTGCTAGCCCCTCAAACTATGGAGCTCTACTAAGACCCCCAAAAGTATTGGTCCCAATCAGCTTTCTATCATTTATCAGCCACCTATTGACCCCCAGACACTTATTTGAGAGTCCTATCAACCCTTGGGGGTTGACATTGTCCACTTTGGGGAACCTTAGTCTAGAGCCCAGTTAGATCCCATTTAAATCATCCAAGGAGCAACCAGATCTTTTCAGAAGCATCTGAGAATTTCACACAAGGATTAAATTTGGAAATTTTAGAATGACATTTGCCTGTATTTGTAATAGAGCTGTGCAGCACTTCAGATTCAAAAGGCACTCGCGGTGGGAGACGCTCAGGTAGCACCAGTCAATAATGTGTCCATCCAGCTGTATTTTTTTCCCCAGATCACACAGCTGCTCTTAGCAGCTGCCACACAGTCCTGGGAAAAGATGTGCTTGGTTTAAGGAGTTGTCAACGGATGCAACATGAGACCCAGGCACATCTGAAGCCCGGCCGGTTCCCAATCGATGGTGCCTTATTCTGCTTCAAAAACCGAGCTCCAAAAATTGGATACAGGCAGATTTTGAGATAGTGTAATTGCATAGAGTTGAATAAGACCGAGCATCACATCTGCCCTACAATAAAGCAGAAAGGGCGGTGAATCTATATGCCACTAAAACTCTTGTGTCTCTTTTTCTGCAAACTTCATTTGGAAATGGCTCATCGTAGGGCAACCATTTTTGAAGCAAGGTACTTCAAATAGGCTAGCTTGTATGCAAAAGCCTGAACCGACGACTCCCATGGAATTTGGCGTATTTAATAAAACATTTTATCCATAAGACAACGTGTCATAAAATATTTCTTAGGTCAACGCCTGGTGTTTATTGGTTCAGGGCACCCTGAATTTTTAAGGACGTTTCCAATACATTAGAAGCTCTGTCATTGTGGAAGGTGTTAAGGAATCTGATCAGGAAATATCTCCAAAACAATGACCCAATGGGTCATGGGTTATCTAGTATCTCTTCCTCACAAGGATTGTAATTGTCCTGCTGTTCTTTCCGTGATTGTTTGAACAGGTGGGTTACAGGACAGTGGAGTCCTTGCTCTTCAACTTGTGCCAAAGGCCTCCAGCATCGGGAAGTGACATGTGTCTATCAACTGCAGAATGGTAGCTATGTCAACACTAGAGACCTCTACTGCCTTGGTCCCAAGCCAGCAACCATACAGAGCTGCGAAGGCCGAGACTGTCTTTCCATCTGGGAAGCTTCAGAATGGTCTAAGGTATTTCCAGTCTGGTAGAAGGAAGGACTGATAATTGTGAGATGTAGCTAAATATCTGCTGAAGTCAATTGGTTGAGATTACACAAAGGGCAGGACCATAACAACAATAATATAAACAAATATAACTAAGTTCCTATGGAGATTCTCAACCAACCAGGTTATGGTTACTCCAAAGATGCTTTTTCTGAAAGGCAACTGGAGTTTCTTGGTAATCATCATCATCATCATCATAGAGTTGGAAGGGACTTTGGAGGTCTTCTAGTCCAACCCCCTACTCAGGCAGGAAACCCTTTACCATTTCAGACAGGAATTTCAGGCAGGAAACCCTACACCATTTCTCTTTGAAAACATTGTGACTTCTCATCCAAGAAGTTTCTTCAGTCTTAAAAACTTTTAGATGTGAAGAAGCTTCTTGGATGAGAAGGCACAACGTTTTCAAAGAGAGATACTCCAGTTGCCTTTTTTATAAAAAGCAGTTTTGGAACAAATACAATTAAGGTTCCATATGTCAATTAAAATACTGTGGCTTCCCACTGGGAGTTGTGGAATTTGAGAGGAGGCTACTAATTAAAAACAAATAACTTAAAGAAGTCTTCCATCCAAAATTACATGTATGCTTTTGCACTGCAAAGATATTAATTTTTGCAAGGAGGTCATGAAATTAGATACAAGGAGAGGGAGAGAGAGAATTCTAAAGTCATTTCCCAGTTGCTCTGTAGTTTCCAGAGCATGTTTGCTTGCTAGCTGGCTCATAAAACACTTGTCATTCATGTCCTAAACAAGGTCGGCAGTCACGTCTGCCTGGATTATGGCTTTTTATAAAAAAAAACATTTTCTTTTTTAAGAAAGATGGTTAGATATGCATGTTGAGATCTGCCCTTTGCTGCAATCAGCATCAGGCTAAGACTTGCTTCTAACCTGGGCACCCCACTCCCCCAAATAGAGATGCTTTATTTGGAGCATATTCGAAAAGAATGCACAAAGATCTTCATCTATTTATTTGGTGCTGGATCCACAGTCTGTTCATCAGTGACCCATGGAAGGGCAGGAAGTTAAACATGATTTATAGGGGGAAAATTATTGGGGTTTTTTATTCATTAGTGTTATATACATTGGTGTATATTTTTTTCCTGTGAAAAATCCATGAAGATTATTGACTCTAGAAAGAGTGCAGAGAAGAGCAACAAAGATGATTAGGGGACTGGAGGCTAAAACATATAAGGAACAGTTGCTGGAATTGGATATGTCTAGTTTAATGAAGAGAAGGACAAGGGGGGACATTTTAGCAGTGTTCCAATATCTCAGGAGTTGCCCCAAAGAAGAGGGAGTCAAAGCACCCGAAGGCAGGACAAAAAGCAATGGATGGAGACTCATCAAGGAGAGAAGCAACCTAGAACTAAGGAGAAACTTTCTGACAGTTAGAACAATTAACCAGTGGAACAACCTGCCTCCAGAAGCGGTGAATGCTCCAACACTGGACGTTTTTAAGAAGAGACTGGACAGACATTTGTCCGAAATGGTACAGTGTTTCCTGTCTGAGCAGGGGGTTGGACTAGATGACCTCCAAAGTCCCTTCCATCATCATCATCATCATCAGCAGCAGCAGCAGCAGCAGTAGTAGTAGCAGTAGTAGTAGTATTCCCATTTGGAAAAAGTGGAATGCTTTAAAGCTGAAACTGCTTTGAACATTTCAGGTGCAATTCATCCAAATGTCAATGCTCCCTTTTGCAGTGTTCCTCTGATTGTGGAAGGGGGAAACAGAAGAGAAAAGTCATGTGTACCAACTCACAAGGAAAGTGTGATGCAGCTACGAGGCCAAGGGAAGAGGAAGAGTGTGAAGATCACACCGGATGCTACGAATGGAAGACTGGGGAGTGGTCTAAGGTCAGGCGGTCTGCTATTTAAAGAGACATAATTTGAAGCAGGTGGTGTGGATCAGTGTGTCTCTGGAATAGCATTTCGTTCTAGCTCTAGTTTGCAATTCCTGCATTAGTGTGAGGAACAGAAATACATTAGTCCGTTTACTTCTCGCTTTTCATAAGGATAAAGACCAATGACTAAATACATATTTGCACATACAAACCAAACGGAATGAACGCCAGAATAGATTTCTTTAACCCACTAAGAATTAGAATTGATCATTGAGGGAGGGAGGGTGGAAGGAAAGAGAGGAGGAGGGAAGGGAAGGGAAGGGAAGGGAAGGGAAGGGAAGGGAAGGAAGGAAGGAAGGAAGGAAGGAAGGAAGGAAGGAAGGAAGGAAGGAAGGAAGGAAGGAAGGAAGGAAGGACCAAAATTATTTTTAAACTAGACAGCGGACAGCAAAATAATTGTGCTCTCAAGCATTCATACTAAGTGGCGTTTATGGTCTGTTATCATAAATTTAGCATCTGGGCAGTCCTTTGGGGAGTATTTCACCATTCACTGCCTCCTTTGGGAAGCTTATCAGCGACCACTCTCATATAATCCCAGCTTCAGCTAATATTGAAAGACCCCTGCTTGTTTAACCAGTTCGTGGGAAATCAGACTGAAACCAGACTTACGAGCCGATGGTTCACAGTCTCTTAACGGTATACCTTATCCCACAAAACTTTATTTTCTCGACTTGGGTGTAGGGGAGGGGGGGAAAACCCCTGTTTTTGACTTGAATGCCTCTGCTGATTGAATCAGGAGACTCAGCAAGCCCGTTTCAAAGGCTGGCCTGTGTGGACAAGGAGCCCCCTTTCTCGGGCAGCCCCACCCCATCCTGGGTGGCAGGCCTGGGAATTTGGCCGCCAGCCTAGGTCCCATGCTTCCCAGCTGGGAACCGACTCCTGCTTTCTTTCCATGTTCCGCACCTGATGGCAGAGTCTTTCCAGCCAGCTCCAGGAGGACTCCGCTCCAAGCGGAATGCATTCTGAAGCGTCAGCAAAGGGCTTGGCTAAAAGAAAAAAAGGGGGAAAAAGAGAGAGAGGACATCTTCAGAATGCGGGGTGGCTGCCAAGCCCTGTCACTGGTGATAAAGCGCCTTTGAAACATTGCCTCCAGCCACCTGCCTGCCCGCCCTCCCCTGACGAGTGGAGCTGCCAGTTGCCTCTTGCGCTGCTCGCCTCTGAAATCCTGGCAGCAGCTCTTCCTCCCCGCAGGACCTGTAAACCCCAGGGAAATTCTCATTTCCTTTTAGAATAACCCTGCTTTTGTCTTCTGCCTTGAGAAGGGATCAGCAGTCATTCATCACTGCTGGGAGCAAGCGAGGCCCTCTCATTATGACTGGGCTATTTGGCAGGGGCACCCAGTTTTCTCTGCAATGGGGGAGCGAGGCAGCTAAATCTTCCGGGGCGAAGGCACCAGAAGCCCCCGTCTTCCTGATTTGCAGTCCGCGGCTCGGTTGATCTGTATGCGAAAAGGAACTCTTGCAGGCTAGAATCGAACTCAGTAGCCGCGGATTCTGGATAATGTTAGCCAAGCCGCTTCTGCATATACTCCCAGCTTCCCCCATCTCCCCAGCCGGATGGGTATATAAGTAGTTCTCGACTTTCAACCACAGTTGAGCCGAAAACCTCCGTTGCTAAACAAGGCAGTTGTTAACGGAGTCATGTGATCACAGGACACTGCAAACAGACATATATATGGCTCAGTGGCTGAGCACCCAACATGCAGTCGCATGACTGGGGGGGGTCACCCTCAGAACTTGGTATCCGGGTCATAAGTACCCCCCAAGTACAGGTAGCGCTCAACTTAACAACAGTTCATTTAGTGACCACTTGAAGTTACAACAAGACTGAAAAAAGTGACGTTTTTCACACGCACGACCGTTGCAGCCTCCCCCGTGGTCACGTGGTCAGAATTCAGATGCTTGGCAACTGACTTGTCTTTGTGTCGGTTGCCGTGTTCTGAGGTCATGGGATCCACCTTTCGCGACAAGCAAAGCCAATGGGGAAGCCAGATTCCCAGGAAAGGTTGTCAAATGGGGCAAAACTCACTTAACAAGCATCTCACTTAGCAACACAAATTTTGGGGTCAATTCTGGTGGTATGTCAAGGACTACCTGCAAGTCTGCTGTAATTTCAAGCGGTCACTAAGTGACCAATCGTAAGTCAAGGACTGTCTACATAAATCTAATAAATCCAAGGTCTTCATCTGCCTCAGTTATATCTCTGCTTTACATATATCGTGATGGTTCCCTCTCTCGTCTAGTGCTCCTCAACGTGTGGCAAAGGTCTTCAGTCCCGCGTGGTGCAGTGCATGCACAAAGTCACAGGTCGCCATGGCAACGAGTGTCCCGCCTTCTCCAAACTTGCCGCCTACCGACAGTGTCACCAACAGGCCTGCAATGAGAAAATCAATGTCAACACAATTACCTCTCCAAGACTTGGTCAGTATGCATTCCCTTTTGAATTTTGAATTTTGAACTCTTTATTTGTCATCTTCCTCTCAATCAAAATAAACTTAAGAAGCCCCTGCCAAAACACAGGGTCCCTCCACTGAGTTTCAGATTTCTTACGACTTGGTCAATGAGTTTTTCCTTTCTTTTCTCACCAAGGAAAATTTTCCACCTAAAAACTTAACATAAGGAAACACTGAGAATGATATAATATTGGGCATGCTTTTGAAGTTGAAAGTTGTTGAGAATCCAGTTCCCAGAATTCTAGACATGCTGTGAGGTGCGGAAATCTTGATTTGGAACACAACTGGGATAGGCTGGGTCAGGAAACAGATCATTACAGATTGGATAGAAATGAGATGGATGGATGGATGGATGGATGGATGGACAGACGGATGGACTGATTCCTGACCGTGAGAACAATTAATCAGTGGAACAACCTGCCTCCAGAAGTTGTGAATGCTCCAACACTGTCCAGTCTTTTTAAGAAGAGACTGGACAGCCATTTGTCTGAAATGGTATAGGGTTTCCTGCCTGAGCAGGGGCTTGGACTAGATGACCTCCAAGGTCCACTTCCAACTCTGTAGATGGATGGATGGATGGATGGAAGGAAGGAAGGAAGGACTGGCAGATGGACAGACACCAGTTGATAGCAGGAAGGACAGACAGATAGATGCAGTTTCTCTAGAATTACCGTCTTCCTAAATGAAAACAATGGCATAATTCCTTGTTCCAATATTCTCTCTTCCTGTTTTAACAGCTGCTTTGACATATAAGTGCACGGGAGACCAATGGGCAGTTTATTGTCGAGTGATCCGGGAGAAGAACCTCTGCCAGGACATGCGTTGGTACCAGCGCTGCTGTCAAACCTGCAGAGACTTCTATGCAAGCAAGATGCAGCAGAAGAGTTAATGAAATCTGCCTGCGGTCCTTGGGGAATGATGGCTCGCCCATACTTCTTCCCACGATGTATCATTAACTTATGGAACTTGCTGCCACAAGACGTGGCGATAGCTATTTCAGCTTAGATTAGATAAATTTATAGGGGAATTGGGTCTATTGGTGGCTAATAGTCACGACTGCTAATTATAGAGCCTCTGTGAACAGAGGCCACATACTTTTGAAATGCAAGGACTAATGATATCACATTGGAAGGCCATCATCACCTTTCACATGGCTGGATGTTATGAAAAAGAAGAAGCTTGACCAGATGGACCTTGATCTGATTCAGCAAGGTCAACTGTATCCGAAAATTGCAAACGCAAGTATCTGTTTAATTTCAAACTCAAGTTATTCACACCCAATTAATTCCGGTGCTTACCTAGCAAGACTCGAAGCTCCTTTTGCAGACTGGATGAATGAAAGCAAAATCATCACATAAAAAAGAAGAAGAAAAAAAGAATTCATCTCAAAAACCAACCCTGTAGAATATTATGATACTTTTGACATAGCTGCATTTTTTTTTTCATTAATATATAGATTATTGCAAGCCACTGGATGGCTTGTTACCATTTTTTTAATTTTTTATTTTTTAAGGAAAAGATTAGGAGAGCAATTAAATTGAATGAAGATATATGTACCTGTAGCGAATATTATCTCCATCTATATCTCTGGATGAAGGGTGGATGGTTTGAAAGGGAAAAGCCGTTAATGAAGTGAAATCTTATATAATTTTACCAGAAAGCAGTAAACAGCAGACCAGCCCTTCCGAAACTTCTGAACGAAATCTACTGTAGCCCCTCAATCCACCACTTAGTATAATTTCAGAGAAATTTTTAAAAAAGCCCTAATTAATAGCCATCTTTCCTCTCTCGCCTAAAATATATGTATTTATATATTAATTTTCCCCTGGGCTGGTCTTCTGTTCAGCTTTTTAGACTACAATTCCCAGCCTCACCTAAGTCTAATAGGGTAGCCTAATGCATCTGAAATATTTAATACAGCAATAAATAAAAGATAAAGTAATCATTTTGTAAGCCCCTATTGAAATGTTTTATTGCATAGGGCAGTGGTGGCGAACCTATGGCACGGGTTCCAAAGGCAGCACGCAGAGCCCTCTCTGTGGGCACGCGCGCCATCGCCCCAGTCCTAGGCCTTCAGCTGGGTTTTATAAAACCGTTTCGCTTTAGGCCTCCGCCACCGTGTGCAAAAAAAAAAAGGTTCAGTCAATCAGTCAATTTCAACTTTTCGCAGGGAAAAAAAAGATCTTGCAAAGTTGGAATTGATTGATTGAACTTTTTAGTCCCACCCAGTCTGCCGTTACCACCGCAGCCAGGCCCAGCCAATGGGCTACACCCAGCCAATGGGCCACACCCACCTGGCACCCGATGATGCATAAGTGGGTTTTGGGTTGCAGTTTGGGCACTTGGTCTCTAAAAGGTTCACCATCACTGGCATAGGGGATAACTTGAATCCAGACCATGTCCATCATTTTATATTATAACTGAGCATCTTTTCAAAATTCTGACCCGGCACTAGAACTGCTCCTTCGAAGGGAAGGGAGAAACTCAATGGGGCCAGTGAAACCACATATCATCTCTGGGACCTTCTGTAATGGCTAGTTGTTGTTCAAGCATGGAAAGGATCATGCAAGGTATTGCTCTAAGACTGAAAGGTATCCGTGTCTAACCTGATTGGAACATCCTTTATTAACAATATCTGGACAAAGTGTTTGCTTCAGCATCTCCCAACACCTTCAGGGAATTATAGGATTAGGCTTCATCCCTCACCAACTACCTAATTTGCAATTCACAGACTGAATCTGTTCTCTGCAACTCAACCGTCCTGGAAGACGGAACATCCTGTCATGTTAGGACACTTGGATATCTCATCCGGCGGCAATCAAGCAGATGAAGGCATGGAACGCTCTGGATATTACAACTCGAAGTTTGCAAAGATGCGGAGATGTACAGTTGGATAAGCACGATTGCAAAAAAAAAAAAAAGAATGCACATTATGCCTTATGGAACAAAGCCATCATATGCATTAGAAATTCCTCAAAGTCTCTTTTGGGGAAATAAATGTCATACAAGGAATTACACTTTTCAGACAAAGAAAAAGGGATCATGTCGGCCATTCCAAGCCAGAGGAAAACTTAATGGTGCTCAAACTTTCTACCCCTACTCAAGGCAACAGGAATGTTTGCAATGCATATGGAGTGGCGCAGGAGATGTTTCTTTACCCTTCAAATTCCACTGGTGCTAAGCTCCTGCTCTCCTGAATTATCAGAAGCAAAAAGGTTGGTTCTGACATAAGTTATTAGACATTTAGTCCCTACAAATAATGGTACAGTGGTGAGTTTGCAGCTCTGCTTGGATCTCCATGGGAGTCCAGTGATTAGTGCAATGTTAAAGTACCCATTTTGTTACTTGCTAGCCTAGTGTGTGTGGATGGTCTTCACTTGTGCATCCAGTAGAATGCAGGTATTTTGTACCATTTATTTCAGTTTCACAACGCTTGAGTTTCAGTGGTTCAGTATGTAGTTCCTACTTGTATGCATACAGCCTTGGGATTAAGAACATTAGAATTGATGGCTGGGTTCACACAACAGACCTTAATTGGGTGAGTTAGCCAAACAAGTCTTAGCAACATGCGAAGTGTTCTTGTTGTTCAGAAACCAACCCACAAGCTTGAAGAATGAACTTTATCCTCATAGTGTGTCTCAATATAAGAGACACATATTGCTAAAAGCATTTGCTTGTAGTACTGCATTTTGCCCTATAAAAAAACCTGCCATTTTTATTCCTTTTCAAATCTGTGTTGTTACTGTCCCTAGATCAGTTTTATTTTATTTTATTTTTTTAAAAAAACCATCGCACTTATAAAACAATCTGAAATGTTGATAATATTGAAAAAAACAGAACAAAAACTTTCACCTATTTATACCAGCCATATTAAGCAAAGGCCTTTATGCTCAGTTAAGGATGAAAAAGTCTGCTAAGAAAAGATGGTTAGTCTAATTGGGCACAAAAGCAGCTGAATGCACAAGGATTGCAATGGAAGATACTTAAGGACTAAGTTCTCAAAATCCTTTGAGAGAGATAAAAATGTCCTTTGTGCTTTCTCCCACATTTTGATTTGCTTTCATGCACATTCTTTCCCCTTTGTGTATTAATTTTGGTAAATTATCAAGAATTACGTGAATGAAATGCTTATCTATCCTTTACGCATGGTTAATTTTTGGTATTTCCTGTTATTTCTTAGATTCTCAGTCTTGACAGTCAGGGAGAACAACCCACAGCACCCCATAAAGATAAAGAGCAAACATTTCTATTAAAAATTAACATAACACAAATGTGCTCTTCTCTAGTGGATTTCTGTGCATCCAGGGAATCTCAAGACAGGTAGCTTGAATAACAAACGTTTTTCCATCTTTAGGTCCCTGATCAGATCTGTTTATACAGCTCTTCCCCCAAAATGGAGTTGGGCAGCCAATCAATCAATAAACAAACTTATTCTCAAGATAATTCAAACTTACTATCTTGATAGTTCAACCTACATGTACAGTATATTTCACCTTTGGGGATATTCCTTGAAATAAGCAGTAAAACATTTTCTGGGATCATGTGATGCTTTCAACCGTTCTAATTTTGGCCAACATTTTTACTTCACTACTTCTGTTGCAAAGCCATATTGATGAATGGGAACTGCAAAGAAACCTCACTATGTTGTATGGATGTACATCTTTGTGGACCATCGGGCAGAGTCACAACGTCGCTATCATTTCCTACAACCCAGATAGTTTCAGGAATTCTATTTTGGGATTACTGGTGAGCGAGCTACCTTCTGAGAGCATTTGTTCACCATTACCAGTAACAGGTGTTCCTTGACTTACATTTCTGTTGCCAAGCGAGACAATTGTTAAGCGAGTTTAGCTCTATTTTACACTTTTCTTGCCACAGTCATTAAGCAAAACACTGCAGATGTTAAGTTACTAACACGGATGTTAAGTGAATCTAGCTTCCCCATTGAATTTGCTTGTCAGAAGGTCCGCAAAAGGGGGTCACACGCTTATAAGCGTGAAAAACAATTATAGGTCACTTTTTTCATTGCTGTTGTAACTTTGAATGGTCACTAACAAAATGGTTGTAAGCTAAGAACCATCTGTACTTTCATTGTGGAACACCCAAACAGCTGGGTGGCAGGTGACTTTCATTATATGTAAAGAAATATTTTTGTTAATTTTGAACTGAACACTCCTGCATTGTCATATTTCCACTATGATAAAGCTTTATTCTATGTACTGTTCCATAAAGTACTGTACATTTATAGTTGCACAATTTGTCACTTATGAGTGTAGAATTTTACTACCATTTGGTGCTACCTTTTTCTCCCTTTGTGATTTAAAGCAATGGTTTGCAGCTGAATATGGATATTTTATTCTAATACAAGGCAATAATGGAATGTTAGGTTGTTCACTAGAGAGCAAACATGTATATATGCTTTAAAAACAATTAGATATGAACTATAGTCAAGATAATATTTCTAATTCTTTTTCCTGGTGCTGGCTAAAATTGGTCAAAGAAATACAGTCAAGCTGAATAAAACCAACTGTAATTTAAAAAAAAAGTAATTCCACTCTGGAAATGAGAGAAGCTTCATTGTGTTTGAAATAAATATTAATATTAAAAATAAATAAATGTATTTTTTCCAAAATTTCAACAAGCCGTGCCTTTATTTGCAATGCGTGGAGTTTATTCAAAGTAATTTATTGATGCTGCCCTACTCAGGAAGAGCCAAATTTATCTTTCGTTTTAGCTAACTTAGTAATTTCTTTCTCCTGGGTTCCAGTTGCCTGTGTAATCAAACTCCTTTTACAATATATGGTATAAGATCACCATCTGCTGGCAAATTGTTAAAATTGCTATATCAATTTTCTCCTGTCCGAATCAGGAGGAGCCTGACAGGATCTTTTCTGGCTAAAAAAAAGTATTTAAAGGCATGTTGCCACTCATGGTTATAGTTCTGCCCAACCTGCAGCCATTGTCCATCACAGCAGCAGAAAGGCTTGTTAAAAAAAAAAAAAACCTTTTTTATTTAGACACCTGTAGAACTAAGGTTGGTGGGAATTCAAGAAAAGTTCTTGAGCTGACAGTTGTGTTTTTTCTAACAAGGTTTAATGACTCTGCCTGCATCCATCCATTGTCATGTACAATTTTTGGATTGGAAGCATCGGTCAATCAATCAGAAGACAGCTGGAAGGGACCTTCAAGGACATCTAATTCAACCCCTAGGGCTCAAGCAGGAGACCCTATACCATTTCAGACCAATGGCTGTCCAGTCTCTTCTTAAAAGCCTCCAGTGCTGGAGCACCCACGACTTCTGGAGGCAAGCTGTTCCACCGGTTAATTGTTCTCACTGTTAGGAAGTTTCTCCTTAATTCCAGGTTGCTTCTCTCCTTGATTAAGCTTCCAATCCATTGTTTCTTGTCCTGCCTTCTGGTGCTTTGGAAAATAAATTTACCCCTTCTTCTTTGGGGCAGCCCCTCAAATACTGAAAGACTGCTATCATGTCATCTCGAGTCCTTTTCTCTAGACTAGCCAAACCCAGTCCCTGCAACCATTCTTCTTGCGTTTTCGTCTCCGGGTCTTTAATCATTTTATGAGAGGAGAATTAATAAGCAAAGGGCTGCAAGGGATTCCTGGAATAGTTTAAAGGAGGAGGGGAGACGACGCGGCGATTCTACTTTCTCTCTTGCAAAGAAAGTCGGAAGTCCTCTGGTTTCTTTAGGTATTTGTCTCTCTCTTTTTCCGTTGCGCTTTCTTTGCGCTCTTTCTTTGCGCTCTTTCCTTTCCTTTCTTTTTTCCCTTATTAGATTTGTTTGTTTTTTGACTTAGGGAGATAAAGGTTTAATTCCCCAAGTAGAGGCGCTCGCTCTTCCTTTAAATCCCAGGCGTCTGCTCCTCCCGCCCCAGCAAACTCGTTTCTAACGCCCTGCCCATCCGTGCCAGTTCCGCCGCCCACTCCCTGCGTGGGACTGGCTGGTATGCTGCCCGGCCTCGCCTTCCTGGGCTATGCCAGCCAATCGTGAAGAAAGCAAGCGAGGAGCTTGACCAGTTGAGGCCAGCTCGAACAGGCAAGCAGGAAGGAAAGGGTGCTGCCGGAATCCAGGTCAGCAAAGGAATGGGGGAAGGACCTTGGGCTGCTGGGGAGGGGGAGAGAGAGAGGAGGAGGAAGGGGAAAAGTTATAGGGGGGGGGGGCTTCGTCCGAGAAGAGGCTGAGATCGGGCCCCGATTGATCTTGGGGGAGGTCTCCTGTCTCAGGGGACTTTGCCCGGAGGGAGGAACCACAAGGCTTTAGAGAGGAGAAGAGAAATGGAAGGGTCACTTGGAGAGTCTAATAATGGGGTTTCTCAATCTTGGCCATTCTGAGAAGTGGGGATTCCCAACTTCCAGAGTTCCCAGCCAGCATGCTTTGGAGGAGCAAGGGTTGCTTTTCAATCTTGGCAACCTTAAGACGGTGTGGGCTTCAGCTGGTAGAATTCTCCCCCCAGCTGGGGTGCTGGAAACTCTTTCCACCAGGTTGGACTACAAAGTCTGTCTTTGGGAAAGGTAACGTGGTTATGAAGGGAGAAGCTCTTGGACCTGCTTGGAGAGCAGGGAAGTGCTAGCTTGAACAGTTTAGGGAAGAACTTGGAAGACAATCCTGGGAAGTTTTGTTTAAAAACAAAAAGAGAGACTTAGTTGTGGTAGTTTTCTTAAAACTAGGAAAATGTCCCAGGGTGTGTGGTCTGTCCTACAGACCATATTACTAAAGTCCATTTTATACTCTTCCTGACACGCACAAATACTGTGTGAAGAACCTGCAGCCACAAATGCTACCATGTCGCACTGCCCAATATTTCATCCTACTGAGGTGGGTGGCTCAGCGCTAGATTTCCACCCATGTTGGACTAGATCAGGAGAGGGCAAAACTCTGCCTCCTTTTATGACTTGTGGACTTCAACTCCCAGCATGGCTGGCTCAGGAATTCTGGGAGTTGAAGTCCACAGGTCATAAAGGGGCCACAGTTGCCCAGCCCTGGATTAGATGGAGTTTAACTAGGAAGGTTGTAGTAAGCCCAGTCGCACCAAGGCAGCAAATCTTTTGGCTCAAGTGTTTCTACTTGCTGGTCATCCATCGATTCGTGACTAAACATTTTGACGTCACCCTCTGTGGAAGGAAAGTGGGCAGGGTGACAGATCTTTGGATTGCTCATTTCCAAATCAGATTAGCAGAATCTGAAGCTCGGGAATGAGGACAATGGGAAGGAGATCACATGTTGATGACGAAAACTTGCCCTTAAGACCTTTGATGTCTTAAGAAGGGATACACAAATCATAAACGCAGAAACTGGTCACTTTTCCATATGAGAATTACCAAAGAGATGTGTTAAAGCTTTGGAGAATTGAACAAGAAGGTACAAAGAAAAAAATGGAAAGAAATCCAGTTCTAGGATATGATTGGAAGGAATTAAAGATCAAAACTCTTGAAATTAAAAGGAAGGAAGATAAAGTTGGATGGTTGAATCAATCTGTTTGATTTGACCTTAAAATAGATGTGTTGAGATTTCTGGTAACTGTTAATGGACGCTTACCAAACAATGAAGACTTGAATGATTTATGTATAGATAAGAGATATGGGAAAAAGAAATCATTTGTTGTATTTTAAGAGAAGATGATAAGTTACTAACATTGTTTATACTTGATAAACAATGATACCTGATTTTATTATCTTCAAATACATAGTTTAGTTTTAACAAGATTTGCAGATTAAAAAGGACAAAAATTGCAGATTAAAAAGACAGCACTGACTGAATTTTGGAATTTTATAATATTATATATAGCTTAATATAACTTGAGGGTCATTATAAACTGTTCATGAAGTATGTATGACACAGAATCCCAACAGGTCAAACACTGTATGATTAAATGAATAGCAAATGCATTAATGGAGATACAACGTGGAAATTTCAGTGGAAGTCTGCTAAATTCACAATGAACATTTGGAGGAAAAAAATTGTCATTGGTGTATTACTTAATTGTTAAGGCTGGCTAAGGAATCCATGGAGGTGAGTCTAAGATTATCTTAAAGTCACCAAGGTTGAGAAAACTTAATATGATACTGCCTTGAAGGCTCAGCAAAAGCTTCCTAATATGAACAGCTACAATGAATATATATATATATATATATATATATAAAACAAACTAAAAGCCTACTTTTGCAACAAAGTGCAATTTTTTTCTCCATTCTTGGAAATCCAAGATTGCCTTAAAGTTCATCTCTCCACCTCTGGATGGCATCAGATTAGCACCTTCCCAGCATTTATATCTAAGGGATGAAGCTAATAAGACAAAAAGCTAATAAGAAAAATATGCCAAGGGACATGAACATTAAACATGAAAAAGGAACTTGTTTCTTTAGGACAACAGGCCCAAGATTAGGACATTATCTCATGGTGCAGCATTTCAACATGAATGATCTACCTTCTCGTGTCGGAGTTGTTGCCTCAAGACTTGACTTGCTCAACCCGTCCTTAAGTTTACTTGCTTGCTTGATGAATAATGCTCTCCCTTTTGCCTTGCAGAGATTGCTGCAACATGAGACTATATGAAAGGCTCATCAGGCCCTTCCAAGCTCCATCCGCTGTCCAAAACCTCTCAGGTGCTCAAGTGTTTTTGTTCAGAAGCAGCAGACAATCCGATTCGGAGGACTCGTCAGAAGAGGAATTCAACGCCATGGAATTACGTGCAAGGGGGAAAGATCCCCAACCTTCCAGTTCTTCCAAGAAAAGAGTTGGGGACGTGCAGCTTCTAGAACGGGTTGTTAAGGAGGACGACAACCTCAACAAGCTGGCTCTGCAGTATGGATGCAAAGTAAGAAGGGGCTTCTTTTGAGGAATGCAGTTGCTCTCGTTTCTACCGACTGGATTGATAAAGCATTTTGTTTCAAGCTAATCTTGTTTACAAAATTAACTGCTAGTTCAGGATGGTTTAAAGACTAGGAAGGACAATCTGGTTTTTCCAGTTGAGAGGTTACTCCCTGATGCCAGCTTTGACATATCCAGGTGAATTAGGAGATTCCATGCTTGCTTTCAGTCCTTTAATGATTAAACTATTCATTAGACTATTTTTGCTGATCTAAGAATATTGTGCAACTTGAAAATCAAGGCTGGTTTTATTTATTTTATTTATATGGTGCCTTTATTATTTTGATAACTCAAGGCAGTTGACATCCCTAATACGCCTGTCTCCTCCTCTTTTCTCCTGTGAAGGAGTGGGACTAAGATTAAACTGTGAATTTAATTTGATCTTAGAGTAGAAGAAGCTTGCTTAAAAGAACTTGAATCAGGGCCTGGTCTACTTCACAGTTAATGGGTCTCCATGGGTTTTGCATAGATTTCCTCCCCCAGGGATTAATTTGGACCTGAAAGTTGTGTTGTATTATTGAATTTTTATAAATGATTACAGAAAGGGTTTTTTTTGCTAATAGTTTGCATGATTTGTTTGGGAAGTTTTATGCAACATATCATTTCTTTATGAAATAGCCTGTCTTGGGGGGGGGGGAAGAATGAGAATGAACCTTTGGTAGGGACCTCTGTTCCTGATTCTGGATCCTAACAATGTGTGATATTAGCCTCCTTGTAGTTCTGATTAGGCAATATTATTGACTTCCTCAACCGGGAGAGTTCAGATGCAAGGGGACTATAATATTTCATGTTGGGTAGAAATACTGTAAGGTGTTAACACTCAAAAGACATGAAAATAAGAATCGGAGAAGGCTGTGCTGGACTGTATTTTATTCTGGTATTCTAACTGCACTTAACTAAGGTTTGATCAAGGCTGTTTTGAATGTGTGTAACTAAACATTTTAACAAATGTGGAAGTTTGGTGCAAGACACTCCATTCTTGGCTCTACAAGAGGAACATTTAGAAGCCATGTTTGAGCTTTACACTAAATTAGTACGAGACAATCTTCATGCAATTAGTAGAGCATATCAACTGAATTAGTAGTGAAAACCAAGCTATTTTTGTAAAAAAAAAAAATAACAACACTTGAAACTGTCATATGATTCAAAGTTAAGATTAAGCCTGATTTGTCCAGAGTAACACCCAAAAATTCTTGCTTTCTTCCAGGCCATAAGAGAGATGTTTCCTCAATATTTTTTTTTTTTTTTAATGTCTGAATGAACACTTTGCTAAATGCAACCAATGTGATTATTTAACTGGCAGGAATTAGGAGTATCAGTGTTGAACTGGAGTTGTACCGAGTTCTGTCTGGTGCTGAATCCTAGAATTGTTATTATCAATGTCATTAAAGAAGCTTGTTGAAAAAAATACCAAGAATAATAGAGCTAATTTATAAACAAGTTTCCTAAACAAAATCCTAGGATTATCTCTGGGTTTAGCTGCCAACAGCTGCTGATACAAGATTAACAAAATGTAACCCTTGACTTACACGAAAGGGTATTGCTAGTTTTTCATTAAATGTACACGAAATGTTAATTCTTTTGCAGTAATTAGATGGCATGGCTTAACCCTAACCATCTCTTTTTCGGTCTTTTGTTACGATTGACTGAATTCTCGAATACTGTCCAATTTGAAAAGGCAGTTCCAATGTGTTACAAGGTAAAAGTATACAGAAACACAGCGACGTCCACTTCAGAGGGCTAGAAACTTTCAGTGATTAGAGCTGAACCCCTTTGGATTCTCGAGTGGGCCTTGCAATGAGTTATCTAAATATCAAAAATGGTGTCCAAGGAATGGAGAAGGATCGAGAGACAAAGTGTGGTACAGTCCAGAAGGTCCTGATACTGATTAATTCTTCTGTAGAAAGCCTTCCTTTTTTTTTTTTATAGCAACACCTGCTGTCTGGAACAATCTCCATCCTGAGTGTTGACTGACTCCCAATTTTGCTAGCCATTTGGAAGTTATTACATACCTGGGTTTTCCAATGGGTTTTCAGGCTGTCACGTTAGACCTGCCTGCCTTTGAATGCTGGATTGTATATCATTTTTATTATTTTTGTTGATTGTTTTAATGCCTTGGTAGCTGGCCAGAGTCACTCGGAAAGGTGGGCGATGCTATAAACTGAGTAAATGAAATGCTTCCTTTTATGAATTTTCCAGGTTGCAGATATCAAACGGGTTAATAACTTTATCCAAGAACAAGACTTTTATGCCCTAAAATCCATCAAGATTCCAGTCAAGGTTCATGGACTACTGACGGAGACCAGCGGCGAGTTGCTGCCTCTTCACACTCCTGCTCTGCTCTCTGAACACTCTGTATCCATAGATCCAGAAAACGGGAGTGGCGACCAGGAACAGCTTGATCAATATTTCAGAGGGATTGACCAAAACATTGAAACAGTGACACAGATGGAAATCCCTTCGCGCGCAGTTCACCACATTGAACCTTCAAACTGGTCCTCTCAGGAGCAGAAAGCAACCTGCACTGGAGCGGATTACGGGATCCAGTGGTGGAAAGCGGTCTTCCTTATGCTCCTGATAGGAATTGGTTTGCCTGTGTTTTATATTGTCTATTTTAAGACCCAGCAACTAGATATGGTACCCAGTGCCTCCAACACGACAGATCCCATTAAAATCTCAGTAAACAGTTCTTTGGTGGGAAGATCAAACTATGCTGGGCGAGGAAGGACTCCCACTGTCCATACTACTAAACAAGCTTTCATCCCTTCAGGGGGGTGACAGCCCCTGGCCTGCTTCCCCTGCCCCAAATGATCTGGAAGTAATGACAGATTCTGGGTTTTTCTCCAAGTATTGCCTCAGTGGAACGCATCTCTGTTGTTTGCGGTTGCTAATGAATTTTGAGTGAAGACCAAGCAGGGGTACAACAGGGCAAAATGAGTCATGGAAGATGATTAGCCAATTGTAAGATTGTTCCCACTGTGTAGGAAGAGCCATTTTTTTAAATATCAAAAAATGAGGACAGATTCCCAACCTACTGCAGCATCCTACAAATGCCCAGGTTTTCCTCACTAGACCTCAACTTCCAAAAAACCCCCTTTTTTAACTTTCCTAATTTCCATTTTCCTTTTACTGATAAAACATATTTCTCAACACTGTGTAATTTTTTCAGTGAAAGCCGTTTGGGTGATATCCCTATTCCTCTTGCAGGATTTTGTGATGCCTGGCCCTTTTGAAGAAATAAGATGCAACCAGATAATCCACCAAAAGCCAGAACATTGCATGTGTTTAACAAATTGTTTAAAAGCCATGTTTGAGGTCTTCAAATTAGGATTTGGGGGCATTGTTTACATACATATATTTATTTTTATTTTGCAAGTGGCCAGTGCGTATCTAGGGTAAACCTTGTGGCCAAGGAAGGTACAAGTCTATTTTGACATTAATCACCCTCAACTGGAGAGTATTTTTTTTTTTTACTTTTAATGTGCATGTTTTAATATTTATGTTATGTTTCTTATTGACCAGCATCCCACTTGTAGGTGACTGGATATATACAGCTAGCCAAAAAACTTCCTCTTAAGCTTTTTGACTGGGATACAGGAAGTCTTTGACTTACAACAGTTCATTTAGTGACCATTCAAAGTTACAACAGCACTGAAAAAGTGTCTTATGACCATTTTTCACTTATGACCGTTCAAGCATTCCCAGTCATTTCTTCCCAATGTTGTCTACCCATGGAAAATAATGGACATGTGTTGCAATGAAAAATGAATAACATTCTACCGGCCGGTTCATGCTGGAATTAAATTCCATAAAGGCTTTAACTCCCTCATTGTTTAAAGAGAGAGGACAATATAAATTAGAGAAGCCAACTTTGTGAGAATTTTATCTTTTATTAAAGATGTTTCTAGTCCTAGTGGTTGTGAAATTCATGAGTAAATAACTGCAACTAAAGGGATCCATGAATATCCTGTAGTAACGTGTTCCATATTTTATACCAGTGATGGTGAACCTTTTAGAGACCAAGTGCCCAAACTGCAACCCCAAACCCACCTATGTATCATTGGGTGCTAGGTGGGCGTGGCCCATTGGGTGGGCGTGGCTGCAGCGGTAACGGCAGACTGGGTGGGACTAAAAAGTTCAATCAATCAATTCCAACTTTGCAAGATATTTTTTTTTCTCGCCACAGGTTGAAATTGATTGACTGATTGAACTTTTTTTTTTTTTGCACATGGCGGCAGAGGCCTAAAGTAAAAAGGTTTTATAAAACCCAGCTGAAGGCCTAGGACTGGGGCAACGGCGCGCGTGCCCACAGAGAGGGCTCTGAGTGCCGCCTCTGGCACCCGTGCCATAGATTCGCCACCACTGTTTTATACCTTGCTTTTCCCCAAGGTCAACAAAAACAAAAAATATAAACCTAACTTGACGTAAATGGGAGCATCCTGAATATGGTAAAACAGAAAGAAGCTTGTCCCTCTTCATTCTTCCTATGCAAAATTGCCCTGTTTATCACCTTGTCCTACATTGCTGTAATTAAAAAAAAATAAAAAGTATTTCCCTCTTCTAAAACTCAAATACTGTAATAAAAAGAAATAAGCCCTCCTGATTTTTGGTTGAAGTAGTTTTAAGGATCTTTGGAATATTTTTGAGTATTTAACCTTATCATCTTTGAGCTATGACTGTTATGTTTTAATAAAGTTGAAGTATTACGTTTACCTGTCAAAGTATGCTTCTATTTTCTGCATGTTCATTTAGGGATCTCAGTAACACGAACTCGCCTTTCCTCTCATATGCATCAGGTTTTAGAAGCAAAAGGAAACGGACACTGAGGCATTTGCAGAGAAAAAGAAAGAAAACATACTTATTTTAAAGACCCCTAGCTATATTCCGAGGGAAGAAGGAAAGCAAAGAACACGGTGGCTGCACGCCATCAAAACTGGCACCAGCCACAGCATAGAACAAAGTAGTGCAAGATGGAAAGATATGGAGAGACCTGACCCACAGAATCGCCAACAGTCGGGACATGACTGAATGGATAACATCATCATCATATTCCAAGGATTTTCAGTTCAGATTTTGTTCAGTTCTGCGAAGATGGATCCTGCTTTTTCGACACATTTCAGTCCAAAGAAAACAGTTTGTTTTCAGATGCCAACGGGACAGTTTAAATGAGGCCTTTCCAAATATTTGTTTTTCATCCTCAGTTGAACAAAGCAAATGGGCCCAGGGTAGATAACTGAATCAGAGGCAGCTGCTAACACCTCACCTGAAGGCTTCCTGGCTTACACATATTATTCTAACCACAGCTTGCTGAATAAACCACAATTTGCATATAGAAGATGCCAAGCCAATTTCAAACAAGTCACGTTACATTTTAGTGTGAACCCAGCCTATGCCAGTTCAGCTATTCTTTCTTGGACTGAACGTAGACAATTCATCTAAGTCGGCTGTAAAAATTGTTTAAAACCAACATGGCATCTAACACTTTCGACTTCTAATTCATTTACCAGAAATGTATTTGTTGGTTAGTTCAAATTTGTGAACTAGTTCAATCAGAAATCCATTGTTCAACAGGGTGTCTCTAAAGGAGGACCCGATTCAAAACAAGTTAGCATGATTCTGACTCTTGGTTGCCCATGAAAATGGGTCATGCTTCAAAAAGGGGAAGTTTTAGTCTGATCGTCTAAGTTGGACTGTAATCAACAGCGCTGAGCCACACCATCACGATCTGCAACAACCTGTGATGATGCAGTTTGACATTTCTGGGGGGTGGGAGGGGGTCAAGTTGGATGTGTTTGATTTAGGCCAGGGGTTTTCAAACTTGGCAACTTGAGGACTTGTGGACTTCAACTCCCAGAATTCCTCTGGGAGTTGAAGTGCACAAGTCTTAAAGTTGCCAAGTTTGAAGACCCCTGATTTAGACAGTCAAAACTCAGCTGGCAGAGAAGAATTTGCCTTGCTTTTTTTCTATAATTTGTTGTTAGTTGCAAAGTCATGTCCGACCCATCGCGACCCCATGGACAACGTTCCTCCAGGCCTTCCTGTCCTCTACCATCTTCTGGAGTCCATTTAAGCTCACGCCTCCTGCTTCAGTGACTCCATCCAGCGACCTCATTCTCTGTCATCCCCTTCTTCTCTTGCCCTCCATCTTTCCCAGCATCAGGCTCTTCTCCAGTGAGTCCTTCTTTCTCATTAGGTGGCCAAAGTACTTGAGTTTCAACTTCAGGATCTGGCCTTCTAAAGAGCAGTCAGGGTTGATCTCCTCTAGGACTGACCGGTTGGATCGCCTTAAGCCTGATGAAGTTGGACAGCTCCACTTTCAAGTTCACACAATACAGCAGGCCCTGGTGATGCGACAATGACTAACAAAAAGATGAATCAAGCTTAGGAAGGACTCAGAAGCAGGGGAAGGTAGAATAACCAAGCATTCTAAATAGGAGTGAGTCTGATATACACAGTAAAAGCCAGTATTTTTACTTTAGTGAATGCAAGATACAAATATTTTACAACAACTTCTAGCATTTTCTTAGCCATTTGATAAAAAGTTCACTAGAATATTTATTGTATAATGAAGAAAAAAACACCACATTCAGGGAAAAAGATTAACTTATTTTTTTTTCCTTAAAGATTCATCTTAAAGATGGCAACAAAGTCCAGCTTGTGCCGCCAGGCGGCTTTAACCGCAAACAGCTTCGTCTGTGAACTGTCGACTACAAACAATTACTAAGTACATATATATTTTTTATTTCTTTTAAAAAAAGCTTTTCTTTTTTAAATATAGCAAAGCAGTGTTTTCTTGCACAACAAAGTGAGGGGGAAAAAATCTCTCTTTTTAAAAGTCTTTCACATTCTAAATTTCAAAATGTTTTTTTTTTCCCCCATGGTTAATCTGGGAGGAGTCCTTTATGTTCCTTATTTACTATATATTTCTTGTGCACACAGTACACTTGCCTATGCATTAATGTCCTATAATAGGTAAAAGGTTTAAAGCATTCTCTACTAGGATTTTTCAGTGCTGTGCAATCCCCAAGAAAAGATGCAGCTGCTTTAAAGAGTTGCATACAGCTGATACATCCGCATCCTCACTCATTCCAAAGCACCTTTCTGGAACTATTCCAAAGTGCTGCACAGCCTTGTTTTTTTAATATACTTTTTAAAAAAAAAAAGAAAAGAAAAAGAAAATGTTACTAATAGGTCTATAATTCTTTGCAACTCCTTTCTAGAAAGATTTGTGTGCTATGCAGTCTTGCTGAAATCATATCATAAATGCATTAAAACTGTTTTACATCATCACCTCCATTGCTTAAACTTATTCATTAGCTTAAAAGGGGGAGTATTCAAATATCCTTATTAAGGGAGGTTGATCACTTTATGAAAGTCATTCTAGGACAGGGGAAGGCAACTTTGGCTCTTTTATGACTTGTGGACTTCAACTACCAGAATTCCTGAGCCAGCATGGCTGAGCTTGGAAATCTCTCCCTTTCCCTCAACATGGCTGGCTCAGGAATTCTGGGAGTTGAAGTCCACAAGTCATAAAAGAGCCAAGGTTGCCTACCCCTGTTCTAGGAGGATTTAGCTCTCTGTCAAGCTGGTAACACCCTAGCAATCTTGGGAAGGGTGGATTGTTCAGTCCTTTCACCAAGGATCTGAGCACACCTAACTTACCTGAAGTCCTTGTTTTCATCAGAGTTTGTACTGAGGATATATTTCAAGCTATAGATCTCCTTAATGGAAATACATTGGCTCAGAAACCACATGTTTCAGAGTGTTGCTAAAATCCTAGAGACGGGGTCTGAGAACCAGGATCAAACCAAAGAACGACTTCAGGCATGCTTTAAGCTGAGGGTTTTGCAAATAACTAGAATACTATTTCAGCATTTCAGAGTAGTTCTTACTCCGGCCAGATCTTCACTGATGTAATACAAATTCGTCTAAGATTCCAAAATTGGCTCTTTGTGCAATGTAGGGGACTACAGGTAGTCTTCGTTTAGTGACAGCCCTGGGCAATGGCCATTTGTAGTTATGACAAGGGTGAAAAAATAACTTTGCGGTAAGTCCTTGCATTTAGGGCCATCACAGGCTTATAAAGCAAAGGAAAGCTGAAGTAGGATCATAAGTACAGTCACATTATCTTCACTTAACGGTGGCCGGTTACAATTACGGTTGCTAAATGAAGATTACCTGAACTATTCAAAAAGAAAATTCAGGTCTGTGAGGCATGTGCAGCTAACTGAAGGGCCCTTTGGATGCCTGACCACTTCCTGCCCCAGAAGTCTTTGCTACGGAATAATTGCACAATTCCTGCTGGAGGGGAGGGTGATGATTCACAAACGCATCGCCCTCTAAAATGTTTTGCATCGCTGCGGCAACGTCAGTGCAAAACTTTATATTTGGTACAAAGGAACAGCAAATGACAGAACAGAAACACCAACTCACTCAAATGCCAAAGTACAGGATGCAGCTATATAACTAACTTAGCATAAACAATCCTACCTGCCGTTGCAACTTTATCAACAAGGTCAAAGGGTATTTCCAAAAAAGGTCTAGAGTTACACTAGTACTAATTGTAAAAAAAAAAAATCACTTTCATTTTCATGGTGTGAAGTTCTTCCACAGGAGGAAACGGAAAGGGAGAGATTCTAGAACAACTTGTTGGGCTGAGAATTAACAGTCTGATTTCCAGAAATGATTCTTTTAAAAAAAAAAAAAAGTTGGGTGGCTTAATGAACAAAGCCCAAGACTTTCTGTTGTATGGATTTTTTAAAAAGACGTATGATGATGTAACTCCTTAAGAGACCTGCATAGGAATAAAGACTATTGAGATACAGTCAGCACAGCCATTTGCATTAAGGCACACAAGAAATGAGACAGTAAATGTGAAATGAAAAAAAAAACTCCCATTTGAATCTGTAGGACTGTCCATGTAACGCCAGGGAAACATGCTCATTTGAAGCATCAGAAGGATCACTGAAGTGGTTATGTTATTCCCACGTGAGGGAGCAATTTTCTGCTCTACCCTAACAAGGTTTGGAGTAGCTAAATTCCAGCGCTTTTAGTTCCCAAAACACTGAGAAATCATCAAAAGAATAGGGGCAACTCCTATTTTTTCCAAACTGAAAAATAACAAGAGGCACTATCCACCACTGGTGTATACAATTATTCATGAGATAGAAGAAACAAGAATAGGTATAGTGTTAAAAAAGGAAATATCTATTTTGTTTAGTTGGAGGAGATTTCCAGCAAGCCATGCCTAAGAGGTTTAGAAGGCTGTAGGTTAAGAAGGAATGCAGGTCAAAACCTTTACCTTAAAACTCAAATTTGTCAGCCTTCCAGAATTCAATTGCATATGTTCCGAAATGCTACCTATTTTAGATATGAAACAGAATCACTATTTCATTTCAAGGAAAAGTCAAAAGAAAGCAGTCAGTGATTTAGTGTCTTATAAAAGACTGGCTCACATTTACAGTAAATCACATATTCAGATATACTATTTATGTGGTTATATATAGCCAGAGGGTTTCTGATCCTCGTAACTGGTTTCTCTACACTTGTCCTGCCAGACTCCAAGCTCAAAGCAGTTTTTTTTTCCACAGAAATTACTGATGTTAAATATGAACTGATCCACAGAAATGAATTGTATTTGAACTGGACTGTAGGATGGTTAGCAATGCTTGCAGATCAACACAGCCATTTTTGCCAACGGGATGACTTTCTTACACGGCAGAAGAGAATCCACTAAAATGAAATAGCTAAAGTGAAGTTTAACTTTTTTTCTATGCTCAACTCTGCAAGATACCGATACATGCACCCGTATTGTACACAAGAAGGCCAAATTTAGACCTGGCATGACGCTGTCTTTAAATCCAAATTAGTGCAAATGAAAGCCACGGAGCAGGCCTTGGCCCCAGAGATTTAAATACTCTTAACGTGTGCTCAGAGATACATGTCGGGTATGTGAACACGCTAGAGGAAACGCCTAAACAGCTGCTCCCTCCATGTGTAAAAGCACTTTCTAAATAACTCACATTAGCAAAATGCTTGTAAAATATATCTTGTCCAAAACATACACAAACCACTTCAAAATCCCTCTTTCTTTTTGCTTCTCTGTGCATGTTTTCATTTCATTACATGAATAGTTCCCTCAACCCCAGAAGAGACATTTGTGAATAATGCCTTTAAAAACCATGTTACAATACCCTTTTCTATTTATGCAGGATGAATTCAATATCGGATTTCTGTAAGAGGGATTAGGGAAGGATTTATCACTTTACTATCTATATACATATATATTTTCATATATATATAAATATTGATATATAGATATATATACACACACACATGCACACACAAATATACACTTATACATATATATATATATATATATATATATATATATATATATATGTGTGTCTTTCTGTGTGTATATATTTATAAAACGTGTAAGGGAAGCTTTACTATACAGCACAAAAAAAAAGAGTACAATTTTAACAAACACATTCGCCACCAGTGAAGGGGATGACCCCTTTTAAAACACCCTTTGAAAAAATCTGAATATTAATTAAATCCAAAAGAAAGTACAGTATATATTGAACAAAATAGTAAATATTAAACAGTGAATACTCTACTAATAAGGACCTCGCCTTTTCTTCTTTTTTTCTTCAAGTTGGCGTCAATCCACAAAAATATACTTTTTAATCTGGTGAAGGTACAGCACATACGTACCTACACCAAAAGGTGATCATATATTTAAGATGCTATGTACACAAAATTTGGCTCAAATTTTAATTTACATAAAGAATATTCATGGCTTATTTTTCCCTAAGGTTCTGCCTGCAATTTTTTTCCTTCCTCCCCTGAAAATAAAAACAATAGACAGTCAAAAATCAAGTTAGAAGTATACTCTACAAATTTAAAAAAAAAGCTACACCATTCAACTTTGGCTTGTATAAATAATTCATACAGAATGTGTTCAAAAGTACATATATAACTTTCTATATAGTCTTCAAGGGACGTATGGTTTTCTTTAATAAAAAATATACACAAGCTAAAATTGGTTCTCTATATTTTAAAAAAGGTAAGATTAACATAAGAAAGCTTTTAAAACATATTCCAATTATAACTTAATATATTAATTCTTTTTCTTTATAGATATCTCATAGGCTAACATCTTCTGAAGATTTCATGCGTATTATTTGTGAGTCTGTCTCGTGGTTTAAAAAAAAAAATCTGATCAGACCCAGCATTGTTTTGCACATGCAAAAACAGGAGTTTGTGTGTGTTTTTTTAAAATAATACCAGCCCTTCTCCATGCATTCTTTGCAAGAGAGACCCATGCTAGACTGGGTTAGAGAGAGGTCATCCTATGTACAGTATTGCTTTTTTTTTTTCCTACTGCTCTGCTGCTACAAAGCATAATTTTAATTACAGGAAACCACACAACTGTTAAAAAACACACAGGAACACTACTAGAGGCAGGCCCTGATGATTCAGCCATCTAATTGGATAGTTTATATATGGGGGAGAATATTTCTTTTGCACAACCAAGTACGAAGTCCAGCGTTAAGTGCCAGGTGGGGCCAAGACCTACCGGGGGGGGGGGCACCTTCTGTTACACTTGTTTAACCCACAGGGCATCCGCAACCATATAAAACGTTGGTGTTAAGTGCCCGGTTTTTCTTTTTGTGTCTTGCTACACATTCACACATATATACGTATACAAAGATATATATATGCATGTATATATATATATAATATATATATATATATATATATATATATATATATATATATATATATATATATATATATACACATATAAATATTTATTTGATGTCCTTATTTATAAATTTAGATATGTCAGGACTGTTCATTGGGGTAACTCAAAAGTGGAAAGCAAGGTAGAGAACGGCACGCTTAGGTTACCCATGTGTCCATTCTCATCCGTTTGACCGTCGGGCTCTCTCGGTCTTCCGAATTGGGAGGTCTTCCCAGCCCGACCGGCGAATGGAAGTCACCCCGGGGATCCTCCCGATCGCTGCCGTCGTAGGAACTGCTAGAGCTGCTGAGACTATCCACAGGAGAGCGACCCATCTCTTGCCGCAACTGTTGAGGAGGAGGTGGTGGCGGTTGCTGCTGAGATGCCTGTTGCTGCGACTGGAAGGTGGAGGGGGTCACCCTTTCTCGAGGTGGTGAGATCGGTTCAGACTTAATGTTAAGATTTTGATTGGTGTTGATGGATAAACTGGAACCTTGGGATAACTGGCTTCCCGTTCTAATTAAAGCCGGGGGAAGGGGGAGGACGAGAGAGAGAGAGAGAGAGAGAGAGAGAGAGAGAGAGAGAGAGAGAGAGAGAGAGAGAGAGAGAAGAAAATCAATAAAATCTTTATTAAAAAAAAATAGAATGCAATGTTTACTTAATTTATATCCCGCCTTCGTTATTTTTTACAAATAATTCCAGGTGACGAACATATCCCACACACCTTCATCCTCTTATTTTCCCCACATCGACAACCCAGTTTAGTCAAGCAAATGGAAAAATGAGAGGGAGGTCTGTCTGTGTGAATGAAATGCACTACAAGTGAAGACCAGGGGCAAATATGCCAACATGGACGAGCCCTCTGCAATCCAGTTGTGTTAGTATTCTCCAAACATTTCAAGCTCTGAGACGTAGTCTTAAAAATTAATTGGTTTGCATGTCATGTTAATCAATTAACATTTATCAGCAGAGTTGGCTGAATACTCTACATCAGGTTGGGTGGACCTATCCCTGAAGCCAAAGGGAATAAATCAGATTATGATTTAGGACAGTGTGGGAAGCTAGTCTTTTGTTCATTCAAAAGTGAGAGGAGTTCTATCAGCAATCAGCCTTTACTGCAACATATTATATCTCATTGTGTTTCTCATGAATATTTCAAATGAATTAGAATGGGAAAAGTGATTGGAAAATTATGTACCTGTGTTTTAATCATTTTGAACAGTCAGTAAATGCTCTGGCAATTTACACACACACACACACACCGTAAATGCCGGCGTATAAGGCAACTTCCGCGAGCGCTGAAATCGGCGCCAAAGACGGGGGTTGTCTTATACGCCGAGTCGTCTTATACGCCGGAAATACTGGTAGTTTCCGGCGTATAAGATGATGTTCTAGGAATGCAGCCCGGCTATAAAGACGGGGGTCATCTTATACGCCGGGTCGCCTTGTACGCCGGCATTTATGGTATATATAATAAGCTGTTCCATTTCTCTTGGTTGTTTTTTGAAATGAAGAGAAAAATACAGGAGAATGACAGGGTAAGAAAGAATACAAGACTTCCTTTGGAATTTTTTTTCTTAAACCTGCAAAAATGCAGGCGTTTTGCAAATTATAAATCAGGCGTTCTTCCCAAGAAAACAACTACGCGCATCCAACTAACTAAAAGCTAGAAAGTAAAATAAATAAATAAATAAAAATGGCACTGAATGGAATCGACCCAAACAGGACCAGAGGTTGTGGGGTTCCCGCTAGGAATAAGACTGCGAATCCAACGAAGCTGCAAGAATTGTCTCCTACTTACACAAGAGAGCTGAGAGCTGCCTGTCCTAGATGATGCTGTTGCCAGGCAGAAACTTGTCCTAATGACAGCATTCCTGGGGAGTTAAACCCCTGCAGGGCTGACAGGTCTGCACTAGTCAAGGAGTAATCTGAAACAGGAGAGATAAATACAAAGGATTTTGAATTAAGCATTTGCGGCAAAGTTTTAAGGTGTTTTTATTCTTATTATTTTCTACACCTCACAGACTGATTGCCAACAGCTAAAACAATTGTGAGGTCCTATTTACTGCTCTTAAGTAGATTAGGTAAATTTGTACTAAAATGCAAGCCAAACTAATTTGTCCCCCGTCTCTAAGGATTAACTCTCAGGTTCATTTTTTTATTTTTTGCTCAAGGAAATTATAGTTCAGTGATGGCAAACCTTTTAGAGATCGAGTGCCCAAACTGCAACCCAAAACCCACTTATGTATCGCCAGGTGTTGGGTGGGTGTGGCCCACTCGGTGGGCACCGCTATAGTGGGCTTGGTAGACTGGGTGGGCGTGGCCACTGGGTGGGTGTGGCTGCAGTAGTCATGGCAGATTGGGTGGGCATGGCTGGGGTGGGCGTGGCCACCTCGATGCTGCTTATGGGGAGGGAAACCTGTGGGAGCCAGGCAGGGTTGGGGGAGATCCAGGGGGTCTCTGGTGGGTGGGATGGTGGGCTCCCCAATGGCGGCTCCAGGCTGGCTGGTCTTGGCAAATTTTTAGAGACCATGTGTGCTGGGGTGATGGCGCGTGCCCACAGAGAGGGCTCCGCATGCCGCCTCTAGCACGCGTGCCATAGGTTCACCACCACTGGTATAGTTACTTGAGATGCTGAAACATGGGAAGCCTATTAAGACTGTCTTTCATTTATGAGCAGAGAGCAGATGTAGAGTCCTTGATACAACTCTTACGCAAGAAATTCAGGTGGGCTCCCGTGAGAAAAACAAGATTATTCCAAATAGTTACCGGGTCCTGTTAATTCCTTTAAGAGCAAACCCAGAGGGATCGTGCTATCCAAAGTTTGCTTATATCTGCACACCATTTTATGAATTGCAAAACAGCCAAGGATTCAAATCTTATTAGAACATTATTTAAAGTATCATTTGATCTGCAATTAAGCCTTCGAAAAACTTCCCAAATAGCTTACAAACTTCAGAAATAACATTAGTGGCTGTTGCTGCTTTCAGAAGGGAGGGAAGGAGGATATGGAGGAAGTGAGAAGGGAAGAGACTGGAATCCAACTCAAAAGAATACCAATTAAGATGCAAACCGTTCAGGAAGCCCATCTGAAGAGGAACGGTAAGTAAATTGAAGAGTACTTAAAAGCTGTTGCCTGATTATTGTTCCAGAAATAATGAAGAATTGATTTCCCCCACCCTCACTTTTGCAGGGTGGGGGCCCTCTGCAGCCTTATGGAACAGATGTCTCCAGGGTTTGATTCAAAAACTTAAATATTAGGTTTTTAAAATCAGGGCTTAAATAGCTGTCCTTCTGATTAATATGCAGGAAGTTATTTCACTTCATGATTGTCACTCCTTTTTCTCTCACATATGGAAGGAGAGGAAGCTGCAAACGCTTTTCAACACTTAATCACTTTCTAATACTGTTCTCTTAATATATCCCTTTGCCTCCTGGGGAAAGATAGGGATAAAAATGGGTTCCTGTGAAAGAGCAATGATTTGTGCTTAAAAGGTTGTTGTTTTTTTCTATCTATTAGTTGATACTGGCTAGACAGTTTTTTCTATGGGCACATAGAGATTTCTGAGCATGTAAACCAGGCATTGTTTCACATACATCAGCGGGAATCATAACATTGACTGTGGGATGAAAGCACCATTGCTTCATTTTCCTGTTTCAGAGGGAAGCTCATGCCACTAATTCATCTATATAAATGTTCAGACAAAATCCTGAAAATTAATTCCCCTCTAAAATGTACCAAACCCGTCTCATATTTTTCCCCGCTTCTGTTTAATTGTGTCCAATTCTCAGAGTCCCTGCCGTTTTCTTAGCAAGGTTTTTCAGAAGTGGTTTGCCATTGCCTCCTTCCTAGGGCTTAGATAAAGTGACTGGCTCAAGGTCACCTAGTTGGCTTCATGCCTAAGACAGGACTAGAACTTACAGTCTCCCAAGTCTCTAGCCTGATGGTTTAACCACCACAACAAACTGGCTCTTCCCTCATAATTTCCCTCTGTAGTATTTATCAAACCCCTCTCGTATACTATTCTGCTATAGTGATTTAGTTTTAGGCTGATTTAGATTTCTATAAACTGTTCTATGAAGAGCAGCACATAATTCTGAGCAATAATTCAGTATTTGCGACTTTTGTTGGCCACAGTTGAACGTTGCAAAGAACAGGATTACCTAAAGGCTTAGAATCCTTTGAATGCTGCAGCCATTAAGAAAACAGGAGATGAAGAGCCAACAAATGTGTAACTTACCAGTATTGTAAGCTGTAGGCATGGCAGAATAGACCAGCCCTTGTGGAGGCAAGCTTGGAGTTGTCACAGATACAACTGGTGTTGCAAGAGATTGCGTGGACTGAGAACTACTTAACCGCTGTGTGTTCTATGAATGGTAACCAGAAAAATGAAAGTGGTCAAACAAAATAAAGATGTGCTGAAGTGAATTCAGACATGCATTGGCCAAATACAAACTCTGAGGTTTAATATGTTTTATATCAAATCAATCTCCATTGAGGTAATCAAGCAGCACATTTTTAAATGAACTATGATAGAGTCATAGAATTGAAAGGGACCATTTGGCTGAACGTTGGAACAGAGTTCCACTTCCACCTCGACGAATGAATCCAGATTAAAACACCCATCATGGCTGTCCAGCCTCCTTTTGAGCACATCCATTATAGGAACTGGAATCTAATATCTTTTCTGACATTCAACCAGAATAACAGTTGAACACATTCCAGGGAGGGACAAAAATTTAAACCATAATGATTTAGTGTTTAGAATGGCAATTTAGTCAAGATAGGAAGAGAAAATGCTGCCTTTGGACTCATTCCCAGGACTATTAGGGATCATCTTGTCACATCTAGTTTGGGGGGGGAGGGGGAATGCTGATAAAACTATCTAAATTTAGACAAAACTATCTAAATAAGTGAATTTCAAATCCTTTCCTCTCCACAATATTGTTTTTTGAATTCCAGCCCTTTCGAATTGCTTACTGATAATTTAATACTCAATAGGATAAGTTGACACAGAGAGTGTTGATCCATGGTAGACCAAGCATGCCATATTTATAAAACAAGACTCCACAATACTTAAAACCTCTTTTTCTGGGCAACATCATAGCTTGAACCAGTTTTGGGGCTTTAGTTGCAATGCTAAATGATCTAGTTGTCTGGAGGAGGCCTTATCATTTTTTTCCTTGGCTTGATATTAAGAAACGGTAAATACCACCAGAGGGCAATCTCCTCCTGTAAATGCTAAAATACAAATGGATGTTTACCCTTGTACAGAAAAATATAGAGCTGCTTCAAAATACGTTCTGGCACACTGAAAAACTCAGCAGACATGCCCTTTAACCTACAACAAATGCATCCATGCAATTTGCATGCAAATAATAATTAGGACCTTGTTTATGGAAAGAGAAATGTAAATATACGCAGGCATCATTTGAACAAATCACTGCAAACCTACGTGTGTCCATTTTGTTTTTGTCAGGCGCAATTCATAAGGCTTCAACTACAGTGCACCTGATTTAAACTGGGACCCATGTGGTAGTGTGTAAGCAGGGGTCTCCAACCTTGGCAATTGAAGTCCGCAAGTCTTAAAAGTTGCCAAGGTTGGAAAGCCCTGCTTACAATCCTGTCAGTATGCAAAATATATCTTGTGATTTGCTAGCAGAACACTTTAACCGTTTCAGATTCTACCTGTGGAATGGGAATATCTTAAAAGGCTAACAAATTTCCTGTCCATAAGCTTTGCAAAAAGGTACAATTTGACAGAGGACAATAAACAAAAGGCCTCTCTATTCATTGAAGAATTCCAATTAATTTTTTTAAAATAGTTTCTGGTAACTATGGGTCAGAAGTTTCCTGGGTTGTCCTGAAGGACTACTTTTATTAGAGGATAACGGCAATGTTGCTCTCTTGGGAAATCATCATATTCTCCTGAAATAATTTTGGATCATGCATTGGTTCTACTCTTATCTACAGACCTAATTCCCTGAAAAAGACATTGAAAGGCTGTACTCAGCTCACTGATAGTCTTACTAAATGAAACTATTTAATTCCTATATGAAGCCACTGGGTACATAAAGCAGATGATTTAGAGTCATCAGCGTGCTCCTAATCTTCTTCTCCTTCACCTGAACCAAGAGTGGTTTGGACCGGTCAGCTGGAGGGAGGTGCGTCCTGAAACCCGGAAGTGATTCAAGCTCAGAATAAGAGTGTTTTCAAGCTTGACATGCTTCCAAAAGGACAGCCTGTTACCTTCAGAACAACTGCTTTGACCTTGAAACAACTGTTTCAGAATCCAGCCAGGCATTTCAAATTCAAGATGGTTCAACTTCAAAAGACTATACACAACAGTATCAGAATCACAGCTGGTCCAGAAAGCAGCAGAACAAGCAACAGTGACTTGGGCCTTCTCATGCCCTACATTTACCCCTTGGCTGAAACTACCAACTGTCTGTCTCTGAGGTCAACTGAAAGCTGCTTATGGTCATGTATAAAGCTTTGTAAGGCTTATGAGCAAGCTACTTATAGGGCCACCTATGCCCAAATAGTCTGCTCCACAATTTTACTCTTTTAAGGTCCCTTAATAGAGATGTTTTAGCCTCAGTGATAAATTCAGTTTTCTCCATAATGGGTCCACATTATGGAATGATGGCCAAGGGAAGTGAAGTACAATCCTTCCTTGCCAGAGTTCTCTAAGGATTTTATGCTAATTTGGGGGGGGGTTCATATTTAATTTTCCTGTGTTTGGCACTGATCTACTGTTCCTTATAAGTCACTTCAATATAATTGACTGAATAAAATGGATATTTAACTCCTTAGCTTTTCAAATACATGTGAAAACAATTACATAGGAAAAACTAGCACATTTGATATATTAGACATCATACTTTTGTCTAAAAACATAAATGTACTATATAACTGGATGCATTCACAAAACGTAGAAACATACACACACACACACAAAAAAAAAAACCATGCTGTCGTGCATAAAAAGCCCCATATCAGCAACTCAATGGGTTTAAATTAATTGATAAAAAGCATCAAAACTCTTCTTCTCTTGTCGTTTGCACAGGTTTATCAAGATGCAGATTTGCAGTAATGCTGAGAAGCATTATTTTAGGAGTGCTTTTTTAAGGATAAAGAGAAAAAAACTACATCGTACATGTTTTGTAAAAACTCCTCTTAAAAGTAAGCCTTTTCCACTAGAAAAAGACAGCTTGCAATTGTAGTTTCTTCTGGTAAACAGGGAATCCCCTTGTGGCTTCCTTCTCTTGTGGAGCATGAAATTAACTTTATCTCCAGCATGGTGAGCTCATTGGGAGTGATGTAATCTCCGAGAAGGAAAGCAGTAGCCACAAGATCTGTTTCAATATTTGCAGAACTTTGTAGGCCAAATCGCTACCTCGAAACACCAACATTAACTGAGCCATCGTGCCAATAATCCTTTAAGGCTATTTCCCTGATGTTGCTGTTAGAGGTGTGGTCCCAATGTTCCCCTTTTCAATTAAAAGGAAAAGAAAAAAAGCTTCTTGTTGAAGGTTTATTGATTTCCCCTAAATGTTTTTTATTCCCCCTCTGCGACAAAGGGAACATTGGTATGGTTACATACAGAGTTGACATGAAAGCTCTTCGGATTTTGATGTTTCATACCAAGTAAGAACCCAGACTCACCAACTCCAATTCATCCTCCTCCGACTGTACTCAGCAAATAAGAGGAATAACAACATTACTAAGAATAGATTGCATTTCAGAATGAAAAGAGTCACGTTCAGGCTGGAAAAGCTAGCTATATTTAGCCTCGCTAGTATTTTTCATTTACATAGATGAGTATCACGCATAACAGCATAATTTAAGAAAGCTAAATTATCCAGCAAAGCTTCTATCTACAACTGTTCCAGAGCCTGTACAAGCAAGCTACAGATAGTCCTCCACAACCATTCTTTTACCGATTCTTCAAAGTTACAACAGTACCAAAAATAGTGACTGATGACTAGTCCTTGCACTTACAATCATTACATCATCCCCACAGTCACATGATCGAAATTTGGGTATTGACAACTGGCATGTAGTTACAATGGTTGCAACATCCTGGGTCATGTAATCACCATTTGCCACCTTCCCAGCTAGCTTCTGACAAGCAAAGCCATTATGGTCGTTAAGTCAAGGACTATATGTGGTATTATTTGAGCATGGAACACTAATTTATTATGGTTAGCATAATTCATGTTAATTCAGTTAAGCCAGTGGTTCTCAACCTGTGGGTCGGGACCCCATTTGGGTCGAACGACCATTTCACAGGGGTCGCCAAACAACGCAGTCCGCCATTTTTCCCCCCTTTTCCTTAGCTGTGCTACTCCCTTTTATTCTATTGGCTTTCGAAAGCCAATAGGAATTGTCCAGGCTGTCTCTGCCCTGCTGAGCCCGCCAAAAGTCCCATTCTGCAAACGGTGCTGCACCAGTTTAGTCCTCGACTTACGACCGGTTGGGGGGTTGCGGCATGAAAAAGGTTGAGAACCACTGAGTTAAGCCAATTTGGCAGCTGCAATCCCAGATTGCACGGAGTACTGAAGAATTTAGTGGATCAATCAAGTTCCACTTCAAACACTAATGAAATGGGGATAAAGAGCAACAATTTGAAAGTGTAGAGCCTGCTTTGTGAGAATGAGAAAAGCAAATGAAAATTGCATAGCTGACAAATGGTACCCTTCACAGACCAGATGGCTCAAGGTCAAAAGTTAAGCTTCAACCCCCCCCCCATTGTCATCTGTCTACCCCTTGAGAAAGTAAAGTCTGAAGTGATGAGTCAATTCTTGGTTCTAGCTCAGATGCTATGCCAAGATTCCAATGCACAATTCTTCATTTTGTTTCCTAAGTGGAAACATTATATATATGCAAAGCAACCGCATTCACATTGATAAAAGCAATCAGCTTTTCTCAATGCAGACCTGCAAAAGACCCCAAATTGGTATAACCTTGAATAGACACACAAAATTGTTCGACATTAGAACAGATCGTGGCAAACATTTTTCCACAAGAGATGACGCTGGCTTATCCATTAGAATTTTAAGAATTAAACAAATCCGTGGTAGTTATATCTAACTGACAGTAGTGCTCTTCAAGATTAAATGCTGGGAACTGGAGATGGGAAATTGGGGGGGGGGGTTCTTGTTTTCATAAAGTCCTGATTGTGAGCTTCTGAGAAGCAACAAGTTGGCTACAGTGTGAAACAGAAAGCAGGGCTACAGATAACTCTGACCTGTACTGGCAGGGTTTGTCTTTGTAGTTTTGTGCATTTAAAACTAACTTCAAGTGGACAAGCAAATCAATTAATACAAAGAAAAAAAGTGTGGGAATAATCTAACAGAGCTGTGTTAAGAAATATTAGTGCATTTTTTAAAATTCATACTATGTTTCACTGGATTGAAAAAAGAAAACAGCATAGGCTCCATTCTGCCTTTGAAGTTAACCAAAGGCAAATGAACAGCCAAGGAAATGAGCAATTAGCAGCATTCACACAAACAAAACAAGGCACTCCTCAGAGTGCCTGGATTCTGAGAAATTGGACCCTGAAATATTTTTGAAATAGAAGACTTATCGAGGCCAACCCATGGGGTTGTACACATAAAGAATTGCATGAATAATACAGAAATATGGTAGATTTCACTACCAAGTCATACTCATGTTTAGTATTAAGAGCATCTTCCCCATATATTGTGTTCCGGGTGGATTCCAAGAATTCTCAGCCATTATGGTAAGGGGATAGATTGCGGAAATCTAGAGTAAAAAGACTTCTGCCTTGCAACGAAAAGGTCTCCTGCTTGACCTCCAAGATCCCTTCTACCCCTATTATTCTATGTTCTCCCTACAGGTAGTCCTCAACTTACAACAGTTCGTTTAGTGACCATTTCAAATTACAACGGCCCTGGGGAAAGTGATTCGTGACCATTTTTCACACTGACGGCCTTTGCAGCATCCCAGGGCCACGTGATCAAAATTCAGAAGCTTGGCAAACTGACTCATATTTATGACGGTTGCAGTGTCCCAGAGTCATGTGATCGGCTTTTGTGACCTTCTGACTAGCAAAGTCAGTGGGGAAGCCAGATTCACTTAACAACTATGTTGCTAACTTGATGTCAACGCTGCTAACATTGGATATTCTTGCTTTGACACCAGATGGAGATGCAGCCTTTTTCTCTCATATGCTGTACTCTTAGAATTAGATGATACTGGGGGAGGGAGAGGAATGTGATGGGAGTTAGGTAGACATACAATATCCTAACAAGAGCTGATAAAGCATGGTGGGATAATGAACTGGGCGGGAAGCCAGCATTTCAAACTAATTGGAGAATGTGATTTATGACAGTTGTAGGAGGGAATTGTGCTTTGATCTGTGTGCTGAAGGGAGGGGAAGTCAGATTTTGGCTTCAACCATGTAGATACTGAAGCTATACTGCTCGATTAAAGATTCTTTAAGGTAAACAATGCCTCAAAGTTCTTTGGAGAGTTTCATCTTTCGGATCCATGACACTTAACCACTGCAGTGGTTCACTTAACAACGGTGGCAAGAAAGGTCTTAAAATGGTGCAACACGCACTTAAAAAACGTCTCGCTTAGCAACAGAAAACTGGGGCTCAATTGTGGTCGTACGTTGAGGACTACCCGTAGTTTGAAAACTTTATATGCATGAATAAAGAAAAGGAGAGAGAAAGCACACCAACTAGCATGGCTCGTTTCTCCTTGCAAAGAAGTGCTAATTCTTAATGATTGGTGTGTTGAAGGTACCCTCAAATACGAGAGCAAAGCAGCATTTGAGGCAACGTTTGTGTCTGTAGAATCAGCAGCTACACTTTTAAGCCCCCGTAAGAATACAGTCCATGCACAAGTAGTCAAAGGAACACCTTACCAATGGAGGCATCATGCCTTTGCTAGACGGAGGAATGACAACACGGAGATCTGGTTTGCGACTGTTCATTCCAAGACTGCCCCCACCAGGAGGTGGGGGAGATTTTGTAGGCATCACTTTGCTTAAACCATTCCCGCCACCAGTGCTGCTAAGCAGACCTGGGGATGCTCGTGAGTTCACAAAACCATTTCCTAAGAGGTAAAGAAAAAGAAAAAGAGTGTGACAGAAAAAATATTGAAGCATTTAATCGAAAAAACAAACATCTGATTCTTATCATTATTACTTTTATGAGAGCTTGCAAAGGTACAGCTTTTAGAGGTTATTTTTGGAAACTTCCTCAGAAAAATCAAGAACAGTACAGAAACTCCTGCAAGACAACTTCATTTTTCTCTAAATTCAGTTTCAAGACAGGATTGTGATGTTCTGAACAGTCAAATGAGGTCCAGCAATGACAGGTTGTAACAGCCCAGAACCCACAACTTCAAATCTGCAACTCACAGGAGTACTGATAATACTATGTAGAAGAAACAAGTATAAAAAAATATCAGAAGTAAGGAAAACCATGCTTCAATGATACATCAGGTCTGGTCTGATTTTTTTGAGGGGAGAAAAAACAAAGGGAGAACGCCCAAAACATGCCTTGAAGATTGTGAGTGGTTAGAGACTAAAAAGTGCTAACTGTTGATAAGCTGAGGACACCAAAGTTTAGGGGGAAAGGTACAGATTACAGTAACCTAGAAAAGCCTACAGCTGATTAGAAAATGGAACACTCCAAGTTGCCATGGTATGTTTATACATATGTATGTACTATATTGGATGCTTGAACTGCAAATATTACTTTGGGCTCTTGGATAAATAAACATCCCTGTCACTTACTAACAAATATAGATTCAGGAAATACTTGCATAACCCTCAGTATTTGGATTACTGCTGTAACAAGGACCTATGAATATAAATGTGCCTAGGGCATACATGTTTCTTAATACAGCCCAAATCCTGGATAACAGTTTGAAAACCACAGAACAGTTGCCCGTACCGGATTGCATGTGCACCTATAAATAAAATATAGTCCCTGAATGTGCATTACCTTTGTTTGCATATCACTCTATACAAAAAATTATCTTTCTTGATTTTATTTGGATGCATATGTAGGGAGGATTCACACAATAACATATTAAGTATATGGGGAGGGTTTTTCCCCCATCATCCTGTATTTTATTTGCATGTTTAAAAATCAAAATCTAAAACCAACTTTCTCTAACATGATACCTTGCAATTATCCCCTCAAAAGGTGAAGCCATATCAAAGTCACAGATTAAAATCATTTCACAAATATTTGGCTCTGATAAGCTTGACAAACACCAGGTCAACCTAACCTATACTATGTTATCATGATATTGAACCACAGCTGTCCTATGTCTGAACGCAATGGCATGTGTGCTTGCGCGCGCACACACTGTTCTAATATAGCTTATTTTGTTTATTGGTTATAAGAATGTGGCCACTATGAAAAGCACAGTTCATGACTCAGCTGTTTGTATGACTCACACTGCCATAGCTTGTTCAACATGTGTCATGTCACCTGAATCTGAATGGTTTTAACAAATCACAGTTAAGATTAACTTCATTTTAGGATTCTGAGATAATATTAAGCAGTAGCAAGTTAGACCCAACAGTGGAAAAAAGGAGATAGAACATGTTAAACTTTGGCCTCATAATTTTATGGTAAATTCAACCTGACTTGAAACTAGCTTGTCTGAGCAAACCATAGTTAACAACACACTTGTGTATATATGGCTATTACAAGTAACTACAGTTAATTCAAAAGAGAAGCAAATAATCTAGAGGTTTTTTTTGTGCTGCTGTTAGAGAAATGCAAACCTATTTTTTTGCACCTAAGCTGTTGTTTACAATGTAAACTCTACTCGCCAGCCCAAACCTTCCTTTTTATACAGGTTTCTTTGTAATATTTGTATTTTTCTATCTTAGTATGAATTTTAAAGAGCTTATCACAATACATCCCAAATTCTACAAGGAACAATAACCAAACTTAAGCAACACATTTAGTTTAAATGTTACTGGAGCATTCTCTCCAGTCAGTCTCTTCTGTAATTCCATTCATATCTTGTGCTTCTTTCTCCTAGATTATGTACAAACATTTGTATTGTTTAACTTTATGCATTAGTTATTATTAATCCTATTTTCAATTTGGTGCATATAAACATCGTACCCATAAGGCTGCCATTTCATCTTTCTAAAAGCAAGGTACAAAGAACCACAATTTTAAATGTCTGACTAACTGAGCTGCGCCTGTAACTTAGCAACTGCATTATACAAACTGTAAATAATCTTTCATGTGGAAGAACACACAGTAATTTTAACTAGTCTAAAAAAGATGGGAATCTGGTCAAACATTTGTTTCTGGCCACACAAACACAAACACTCACACACAGACACAGAGATGGTTGGACCTGAGACAAAAACGAAGAGTCATAGAAGACTGGTTGGCACACACAATCAACTGATAGGCAGTGTTTACATAACACATGCAACTGATTTTTAAGAAATTGATGCTAAGCATCTAACCCCCATCTGTGCTCTCTGTTTGTTATAAAATTAATTGAAGTAGGCAACTTAGAAAATTCCCATATAGATTGAGCTACTCCATCCAACCGTGCAGATGTTACGTATAGTTCCCTTAAATTGTCTCATCATTGCACCCTTCAGGTGTGCTGCTGTCTTTCATAAGGACAAGAGAGTAATAATATCTCAGTCTATCAGTGTGTGCTTCCTTAGGCTTTAACTATTTTGTAAACAGAGCACATGAAGCCACCTACTAATTTATAGTAATTTTTCATGAAATGGAGGTGAACACAAGACTGCTGAAATTTTGCAGTATTACTACACTTTGGATTCTGGATTTTGAAGAAGTGTGATGTGTGTGTACTTGTAGAAAGGCTGTTGGGGAGCCTAGTTCCTTTACAAAATGTCCAGGCTATAATCAGCTGCAAAACATGGATTACTAGGATGCGATTTGCCCCTCATGCTAGCCACTTGCCCCAAACTCTCCCAAATGAATAGGATAGGATAGGATAGGATAGGATAGGATAGGATAGGATAGGATAGGATAGGATAGGATAGACAGAGAATAGAATAGAATAGAATAGAATAGAATAGAATAGAATAGAATAGAATAGAATAGAATAGAATAGAATAGAATAGAATAGAATAGAATAGAATAGAATAGCTTTATTGGCTAACACACAAGGATTATCTCAGTTCATCATTGTTTTAGGGGACAAATTTGAAAATGAGCCTCAAGCTATAACCATGCATTGTTTTTGTTTCTTAAGAAAGCTTATTGAGATGCCAAAGACAGATACTTGCTTTGTACCATGCCAGCTTCCCAGTTTTTATGAAACTGATAACACACGTGATACAGTGGGTGGAGAAGAGCAGGCAGCACGGGAACTGATGGACCTCTAGTCCTCATAAGAGCTGACAGTTAGAAGGGGGAGAAAATAAAGACATGTACCCTTCACAGTATTGAGAACTGGGTGTATGTGTGTCCCAACTGTCCTCCAGCCGTGGAAATCACCAAAAAATCAATCAAACATCCTCTCACAATCTGTTATATGGGGATCAAAGTACAGTACTCTACAGCACAGAATGGAAATGCTTGTAAGGAAGTGAAGAAATACCATGCTAGAAGCTTGCAACATCTATTTAGGAAAGCTTGCCTTTCCATTTAATAGGCCAAATACATCAAATGCTTACTTCTCTCAGGCAACCTGTTTAAATCCAAGGCTAATTCAATATAGCACTCAAGATCACTAATACTATACTCACTCAGGTATCTACCAATGAGGTTAATTGCCCATTACAATTTTCTGGTAGCCTCACAAATCTGTGTATACAGGGGAGTCCATTAGAAAGAGAATTTGGCAGCAATGGGTACATCCAATGTAAACAGCTGCTTGGAGCTTGTGTGTTATTCAGAAGTCTGACCAGGCTCTAAGGACAGATACCTGAAGCAACCCCCCCCCCCGTTAATTGCAACAGGGACTTCTTCAAAGCAAGCGTGCTCATGAATAGTTATTCAGCAATTCGGTTTATCACAGGAATTACATCAGTGCACAGAGCTAATCTTTCTTTCTCCCCCTTTTCTTTTACACTACACCCATTTTACTCTTTCCATGAGTATGCAGGCTATTCACGAGTTAAAGCTGTTCTGCTTTTGCTTCCACACCCAATACAATCATTTCCCGAAGCCCTTCTTACAAGGGACTGTCATTGGAAGAGAACATTTTACACCCTTTAATGGCACCATAAGACATATAAGACCTTTCTCGACTGGATATTCTGTGCAGGCTTTACTCAGGCAGGCAGATTTATCTGACACGCTGCCAGCAAGCCAGAGCCATTTTCTAGATAAGGCATCAGCACAGGAAGGACTCAGAATGCAGTTTATCCTGGACACCCTATCTAAGATTAGCAGGGAATCTCTTTTCTCTCAGGCACAGACTTTGTGAATTGTTTGCTCAAGTTGCAACAACTTCCTCACAACACAAGAATCTGCTTAGAGACAGAAAAGTCTCAGTTTTTCAGTACCTGACAAGAAAAAGCTTTAAATAGATGCACATGTTGTTAAGACAAGAATATCCAATTATAAATTGAATTGGAAGAACAAAGCATGGAATTTTTCTGCTTAAGGATAGGGTCCAGAGGCAGATTGTGATCGTAAGATGATGTAATTGTCAGAGGGCTTTGTCCAATGAAACTCCAGTAACCCTTTCCATGCCAGCTCTGTCTTGCACACAAGCCAAACTAATAATCTGCACCTTTAAAGTACAAATAAAAAAGGGGGGAAAAAAGAACACAAACTGTGCATATCTGGATAACTATTTAGAAAATGCAGAGAGACAAGCTTAATCGTTCCCCAAAATGCGCTTTTCAAAGAAACTTGTCCACCAGGTTAAACCAAATAGCATTTATTGCGGCCACTTATTAGTTATCCCAGAAAGAGGTGTTAGCCTCTAAAATAATTTAAATCCTAAACTAAAAATAGTTAAGAACTTCAACTGTTTATTATCTTCAAGCTTTTTAATACGGTCTTTCTTATTTAATAATCCATTATTAAAGTAACATAAAATTCTATATCCCAGCCCAATATTTCACAATAAAATTGTAATATATCACTACATTAAAGAAACCTGACTGGAGAGCTCTTCAGCTTTTAGTGTTTCCCTGAAAATGAATTTAAAATTTGACGAAGAAAAAAGTGAAGGCATACACAGTATAACCTATGCCATATAAAATTATAAAAAAAGGCCTTTAAAAGTTTATAAATACATCCACTATTAAATATGATAATTAAATGGTATGTATCATTAAACTGTTTCTCTGATAAAAACCAGGCTCCTGAGGCAGTTTGAGCTAAGGACCAGAACAAAATATATTCACACAAACACACATTTGCCTGAATAGCTTACCTCTAGCTATCAAAAAATCAGGTAAAATCAGGTAAAATATTTGATTGTAAATCATCATTTATATAATTGTAATCCAGGGTGTAGAGCAAACAATAATTGTTGGATTCATGCTAAATTCAAACCAACCATGTTATGACTTAGCAACATGTATTAACAGAGTCACTATTTTCTGCAAACTGTAGATGCTCTGACAGAAATCTCACCTTAGTTACATAAGCATTAAACTACCTGAGATAAACTATTAGCCCTCCGTGCCTAATTCCTATTTCAGAATAATTCCACTGTACCGGTATATTTAAAGTTGTTGTAGATATTATCAAAAACATATGCAAACACTCCAGGCCTGATTGCTTTTAATGTCTGAATTAACCAATAATTGCATAAGCATTTAATGAAGTATAACCTCAGATATACATAAGACTCAGATCTAAAATGTTGGTAACATCAACCAGTTTTGTAAAATGCCGGAGCAAGCTTTAAAGAATTCCAGTCCGCACATCCGATGGATCGAACATAACATCAGTTTTACATGTATATTTTCCAAAGGACTTCCAGCCCTATACATGAAGTACAGTAAATACACCCGAAGACCTGTTTCAGAATATCAATGGCAGGAAGGATGAATCTCCTTCCCAGGAGAGATTCTATACTCTTCATTCCAGGCTAGCTGATCCTTCACCATCAAGTGATACTAGGAGTAGGCAAGTAATATTGTGTGGCAGGTGTTCGTGCCATCTTCCGGTAATTTGAGAATTGGAACACAGATGCCTCCACACTGACTGAAGCAAACAGCACACCTCCCTACTGTCAACAAGTCCCAAGGGAAAAAATATTCACCCTTCAAAGTCAAGCTCACATGAAAGCTCACAGATTCTGTTCCCCTTTGCTGATCGCTGCGCTCCTTAATTAATATGTATACGGTTATGCATTCTGTACCGTGACAAAAACAAAAGGCACCAAACTATAAAAATGAAGACATGGCAATGTCTTCCAAGAATCAATAGGCTAAAATTTAAGGTACTTATTTTCTAAGCACGTATACTGTACTTATTCTGGGTGAAAATACTTGCACATCCAAGGCAATCCTAGAATAAGCAAAGGTCTTCACAGAAAGAAGCAATTTTGTTGTCCGCTAAGCTTGGCTTTCTTTACAAAGCGCCCAAATACCATGTAACCAATTAGGTCTTTTGTCTTAGTGAAAATACAAAATTTTAAAACTTACCCACTGGACTAGAACCAGTTCCATTTGGCACTGAGAGATCGGTGGTGGTCAACATCCCACCTAGTTAAGCAATAAAAAAAAATGCGTATTACATTCCATGTTATATACTGAATGGAGCAAAGAATTTACAGACTTTTAGAATCAGTCTTACCTGCGCTACCTGTACTTGGGGGTCTCTGAGGACCTCCAGGTGATACATTTCGATGCAATGAAGCTTGAGGAGGAGTTAGCAGTGTGGGATCTGTCAAGGTAGAGCTTGCTGCCAGGGCTGAGGATACAAGAGAGCTCCCAGGGCTATAGTTTAAAGAATTGGGGCTGGATACAGGAACAGTGACCGACATTGAGAAGTTCTGCGGAGGCAACCCAGGCTGGAAAGGGGGAGGGGGAGGGAATTGAGACAGAAAAGTACATTTTTGAAATCTTAAGCTGTCATCAAGTGTTAGAATACTAGCTTTGATTTTTATAAAATACACAGATTATAATTATTGTTTAATACAAAATATTGGCATCAGTTACATACGACTACTCAAAGTTTCAAAATTAGTTAAGAAACGAATAGCTTTTAATTTCTTCAAATTCATCAGTTTAGAAATGGCTTATTCAACACTGCGAGTAGGAAATGAAACAGGTTAATTGATATTCACATGTTACATTCAAGCAAACATTCAACAAAAACATATTGGCCTTAAAAAAAAAAAAAGAATCCACAAACAGTAAGTTATACTGCTACAATCAGAAATATCATGCAGGTAAAAGTAGGCTACTCGTAAAAATTCTCTAATATTTATTTTGTTTTCTAACAGTGAACATAAATTTGATTTAATACATTAAAAGTTTTAAAGTTGCCAAGAAGCTAATAAAATGTTAGTGTGTGTTACAATATTGTAACAGTATTCATATGTGTGAGGGAGAGTAAACATTAGCTTGTGCAAGGAATGTAGTTGAAAGAATGTTACAAAGTCATCTACACAGAGATAAACTTTATAAGCCTTTCTATTTATAATGCTCCCTTATGGCTTTCAAATTCTTCCTCAAAACTTATCTTTTACATGAAGCTTTTAGCCCTTAATTTGTATATTCTGCTCTAAGTACAGCCAAGCATATAACTATCGTGTTTCCCATATTTTTCCTAGGCTGTATGAGAGAGCTGTTTTTCTTCTTATAGTCCATTAAGTATTATGCATTTGAATGGTACTATGTATAATGATAAAACTAATGATTTAATACGTACAATTTGGGTAATTACATAAGTACATGACCTTACCCTACAAGGTGCACTAGAGATGCTCCTCCTTCTCTGTTTGCTAGTTTTTTTTAATCAAATTTGTACACCAAATCTCACCAAAAGTGACCAAGAACAGATCTGTATATGTGTGTGTGTATATACACACACATATACAGATGTGTGTGTATACACACACACACACACATACATGATTATGAAGTAAACGCTCCTTAACATAAACGCTCCTTAACATAAACAATTCCTTAAACTAAAACAATGTTATGGATGCTCTCTTGAAAAAAAAAGAGAATTATTTTTTATCCATCCATAGGCATATGACTTCAGATACATCAGGAGATATCACAAAGGTCTATGTATTTCTAACTACTCATGAAGTTTCTTCTTCTTACTAAAATGTAGGATTTCTTAGTACCTAATAGGTACTCAGGCTTTCCTTGCTGCGTTCTACACCAAGAAGATGCACCCAATCAAATTGCATCGCTCAGCAGAATTTGCCTAATAGGGCTATTACGACCATTCAAGATTTCTGCCTCGGATGGACACACCTCAAGTGGGTATTTCTGCTTTCCAAGCAGAAGTAGCCACAGAAGGTGGTATCCCCCAATCTTCTCATGCATGTAACAAGAGCACAAGGCATACCACAGTACTCACTGCGATTTTATGATTCCGCATCATATTATCAAACTCTTCATTAATTTTTTTATATTTTTCTTCTGTATGTGGCGTGAGCACATAGGAAGTGTCAGGGTCTGGGCTGTCGCACCCTCTGTTTTCCTTCTTGTTCAGAGCCTAAATAATGAAGTTAATAAAAAGAATCAACAAATAAAAAGTAGGAGCCAAGAGAAGTACTTACAGGGCCTCGCTTGAAAATAAAATCACTATCTTCACTTAGTTTGCTGAATCTGTCCTCCGAGAGTGGGCTGTGCTCAAAGTAATCGTCAGCATCAGGGCTTTCACAACCATTAAGGCCTTTCTTTCTTAAAGTCTGAAATACAATTGGAAAATTCACACACAGAGGAAATGCTACACTTGCCATGTTGTTGTCATTTCAACTGCAAAGCTGTATTAAGAGGGCACTGACCGTTTCACAGCCAAAGCCACAGGAATACTGCTTTCTTAACACACTGCAACTTTTCAACATTTGTTAACAGAACTATAATTCCCCATCTCCTTGGTAACCACCACAATTTTTTCCCCAAATTTCCTGGCGTTTTAAAAAAGTTTAAACTAATTTTATGGGAAATTAGGAATAATCCATTTCACTGTTAGTCGTAGTATTCATCTGGAATTTAAATCTACAGCAAGTTATGAGCATTCCAGTTGTAAATGGTTCCCGGTGTAAACTGAACCAATGTTCTAGAACAAGAGTGGGCAGGAGATTGCCTGCCCTCTATCAGGTAGGTACATGAAGGATCAGCATATTCTCTGTGCTCTGATTTTAGCTTCAAGAGATCTCGAGCATCAAACAGCTTGTTACAAGACATTCTGTGTTACTCTCCCCTCTGCTTTTATTTATTTTAATGCCAAATACAGTCTGAGAACTGGAATGGAAAAACAGCAAGAGAAAGAGGCTCTTAACCCCTTCCTACCTGCTGTTCACCTCACCATTCATTATGCAAACCTGCAGAGAAATGGAACAAGGTATCCTTCTCCTCACTTCTGAATAGGCAAATAGGTGATTTCTGAGCTATAATACACTCAATAGAAAGAATGAAGCAGCTTAAATTACAGGTTCTTTTTCCATGCAAACCTCTCTAGCTTACGAGTCTACAGAATCACTAGTATACTGACCATTCTCAAATTTTGTAATAACATTTTCATTAAAATTGTGTAAGTTCCCATAGTCTAAAGGTACATTCTCCACAATGCCCTGCAAAATGCAATTGTTCCTCAGAAGACAATAATTATGAAAAGACTATCCTCAGCTTGAAATTTACTTTCTAAGCACTAGTTAAAAGCTTGTTGCCAGAAACTACAAGCTTAACATCTCAAAGATATGACAGTATGTTCTGATCTCAGACCAATTTTTTTGTCCTGTTCCACAACTCCACCAACTTAAGTTTACAAACCAAAAATGCATTATCAAATATACTTATTCGTTACAAGTACAAAGAGGATCCTGAAAGGAACACAGCATGTCCATTCTATTCTCCTTTAAAAAGGAAATCTCAATCTTTTATTTTGAAAGGTACACACAGTGAGCTTGTATGTTCAACACAATGTTTTTGGGACTCTGCTAGCAGAAAGATTTCCTTTTTCACATTTTAGACCAAAACCCATAGCTCTCATTTCATTATTGCTTGCAATTTTTTTTTTACCAATAATGTAGCAGTGATTAAATATCTTTTGTTGAAAAATCTAAAACTATTAAAATAGTTGTAAGATCTAAAATGTGTATGTGTATACCCACACACACATTCTTTTTAGATTTTGTGTATGTGTGTATGTATGTATGTATGTATATGTGTGTGTGTGTATGTATATATGTATATGTGTGTATATATATATAATGTACATATCTATGTATATATGTATATATCTATGTATATCTATATATGTGTGTATATAATATATAAAAAATGTATTATATGTATGTGTGTGTGTATACACACACATACATACATCTATGTATATATACACAGACATACAGACACATCCCCTGCTCCACTAAACTTATGGTACTTCTTTGAGACAAGTAGAACAACAAAAGCCAACTCACTTTGTGGGTCAGCTGCATTTCCATAACAACTTTTAAACTTTTGAAGCTACAGTGCATTTAAGCAACATTTGGCTTGGCACTTTTTTCCCCCTCTGCAGCTTCAAAGTGCTCTCAGCATTTCACATAACACAATCAAATTCATGTAAAGATCACAAGGCACCGTTAGGAAATAATTCCTTCTCGGGTTACTTGGCATACTATTCTGCCCCTCTCCCCTCCCCCCCCTCCCCCAGTGCCTTGAACTCCCACCAAATCAGGCCACGTTGAGAAAACAGGTGTAGCTTTCACCAACACCTGTCACAGTACTTATCTTTACTGTCTAACCAATCAGGTGGAGACTTATATGGACTTAACCATACATGGTCCTGCAGTCTAAGACTCTGAAAGCTGCTAGCCTTCCCAAACCTCCAACAAGGCTGACCTGCCAGTCTTTTACTCTGTGATATCAGCAGGAGAAATGCTAACACTACAGTCTGGATTACATTTAACCTTTACAAATTATTGAATGCTATAAATAGACTCAGAAAGCGTCTGGCATTCATAAAGGAATGAATACATTTTGCCCAACATGACCTGACGCTCTAAAACTGCATACTGAGAAAAAAGGAAGTCATTGATGTTACAAACTGCGAAGTTTTTTTTTTTTTTAAAGTTTATATAAGGCAGAGTTTATATACTACTACAATACCGCAGCAGCGTTCTTCATTATTCCCCAAGACACATTCCAATCTCATACGTATTGTGTGTAATACATGACTGCACTGGAATCTAGAAGTATTGTGAATTGTGAAGCTCACTGCAGAAGGCTGAAGTGTAATTTCTGAACAAAAGATAATTGCCTTCTTTTAACAGTTATTTTCAGACAAAAATTAACTCTTGACTCAGAAGGAAAGGAAAAAATCTTATTTATCTCCTATTTCTGATTCTAGAAACCTTCCCTTCAAATCAGGTTCTCAGCTGTCTTAAAACTCTTAAAAGATTAATTTTGTGATGTTTAAAAGTTTGCTCTTCTAATCAGTTTCACACAAACTGTCCTGGAGGCTTAATTCAAATAGAAACATCGTGTTTTATCACAATCAAATAATGTAAGAGCCAAACTGTTACTCCTGTATGTCAAAGGAAAGCAAGTGGATGGCTATCATCCAGAAGCAAAATCCAACAGAACGTGAGAGATAAGCCAGAGCAGTTCTCTCAAAGGCAACAACATGTCAGAGATAGCTGACTTTCATCCATAATAGAGAGGGGCCCTATTTCTCGGAAAGCAGCCTATTTGTGCTCTTTTTTTGAGTTTTCTTCTCTCTTGAACAAAACACAGTGTAATAACTAGTGGTAAATGAACATTTGTTTTTGCCAGTCTTGATAGTAAGACAAGTTATCACAAGCAGGCTGCTTTCTCAGCTTAGCACAGAAAAAACGACTTGCTATGAAATGCTATAACTGTGTCAGGGACACCTTAAAAGTAATTAAGAGTTGTTATCAGAATGGATTTACTGCACAAGGAAGGCCTATGCCATGTCGTGCCCTTCTTTGGGAGAATATTTTCTTAAATTGCATCATTAAAGTTTGTCCTGCAAGTGCTGTTACTGAACACCTCTCAAATACACAGAACAGCATTAGCCACTAAACCTCACCCCACAGTAAAATTCCAAGGGCCTCCAAGTGTAAGACCAGAAGCGGTCTTCAAGCTAAAATAATATTAACACTTATTACAGATGAATTGGTTAATAGTTTAGTAGGTTCTTAACCTTGGTGAGTTCCCACCCAACCACATATTGCTCCAACCACATAAGGATAGTGTGTCCTAAAACCCAGAAGATAACAGCAGTCTCAATGTATGTCTTACAGAATGTGATCATTTTAATAGGATCATTTAATAGGATCACAAGTCGCAAAGAGCAGCAACATTCCACATTCCAAAGGACCATTTCACAAACTCATATACTATTCCACAAACTCATATAGTCACTAAATGGTTTCATTTCCCATAAACCAAACATGTCAAACTCACAACATCACGTGATGTCGTGTGACGTATCGGGACTGTTTTGCCATTGCCAGCAATGGGGTGGGCGCGGCTTCTATGTGACGTGGCCGGCCCACGGGCCAGCAGTTTTGACACCCCTGCCATAAACTGTCACATTGTTAAATGATAAAAGCTAGTTGAAAGGTAATTAGCATAGTGCTTTCTGGACTCCTAATAAGCAAAGGCAATTAACATTCTATTTTATTAAACTGTAGTGATTTTAACTTTTACTATTGCTTTGCTTTTATATCTAATTGCAAGTCATAATATTTGCATTACTCATTTGGGGCTATAAAATTAAGATGGTTATTTTTATTTAACTGCATGCCTCAAGTAATAATGGAGGTTTCTCCTTTTCAAATTCCTGAATAGAGTGATACATAGTATTTGTCAGCAACAGGACACTCTTTGTTTAGCTTATACAATATGCTTGCATAAAATGTTTTTTTTTCAATGTGAAATTTCAACAGTTCTTTATGTAATGACACTGATGAAATCTGCACATACATAAAAAAGCTTCTAATACTATTTAAGTCAGTGGTTCTCAACCTGTGGGTCGGGACCCCATTTGGGGTCGCACGACCATTTCACGGGGGTCGCCAAACAACGCTGTCCGCCATTTTTCCCCCCTTTTCCTTAGCTGTGCTACTCCCTTTTATTCTATTGGCTTTTGAAAGCCAATAGAATAGACTCTCTTGAATAGAGTCTAATTCTATTGGCTTTCAAAAGCCAATAGGAATTGTCCAGGCTGTCTCTGCGCTGCTGAGCCCGCCAAAAGTCCCATTCTGCAAACGGTGCTGCACCAGTTGAGTAGTCCTGGACTTACGACCGGTTGAGTAGTCCTCGACTTACGACCGGTTGGAGGTCGCGGCATTAAAAAGGTTGAGAACCACTGATTTAAGTAGAGGATATACCTTCCACCTCTTTATACTTTAGACAATCCACTATATCCATAGCATTCCAGATTAGTAATAACATACTGTGTGTAGGAGACATTGTGCTCTTTATTACTGTTTACATGTTAAAAAATTCCAGCATTCCTTCATA